TCAGGGGTAATGTTGTGTTCCCTGTACATCCCTCTCTGTTCCTCCTTGCTGCTCCTCCCAGGTTGTGGATGCCCTGGAGTAGGTACCTGCTTGATGGAGGTCACCAAGGGCCTTAGGCAGCACTCAGTGCCAAGCAAAGCTGGTCCTGCCCCTTTCCCCTGCTTCTGCCTTCTTGGGTTGGGAATGAAAAACCAGAATAGAGGGCCCACAAGGGATCTGGATAAAAGGGGGTGTAGGGAAAAAGGGGATCAGCAAATGAGACTCACCAGCCAAACTGTTATCCTGAAGGCAAAGGGCCCCAAGGGGGAAAAAGGAGAGATGGGTTAGTAGAAGGGCCTCGCACAGGGACACTCCCTGTCTCAAATGATCTGATGTCCACAGTGAATACCCACATTCTCACCCCTGCTTCCCCTCCCAGCCTGCAGGAACCAGGACGTGACAAGAGGCAGGGACAGTGGGACTAGGAAAGGGCAGAAACTGAGTGGGGTGCTTCCTGCCTAGGCCAGGCAGGTGACCTTACCTGGCAGGGGCACCTGACTGTGTGAAGGGCCAGGAGACAGCAGGTACTGCAGCAAGATGAGCGAGGATAGACAATCCCAGCAGAAGTATAGAGGCCCATGGTTAGCAGGAGTTGGGGCAGGTGCAGGGCTGCCCAGCCGAGGCTCTCCATAGGCTACGGTGGGGTCACAGCACACAGAACATGGCTCACAGCTGGCAGTGGGCAGCAGCACTGCGCTGTGCAGCAGCTGGCCAGGCAGCCTGGAGCACAGCACCAGTGCGAGCCTTGCCTTAGCCTGCCCTGACCCCGCCCTGCCGCAAAGCCCCGCCTCCCACCCTAACCGGCCGGCCGGGTCACATTCCTTCTTGCAAGCGGAAGGACCCTGGGCCAACCAAAAATGCTATAGCTCCCTGTCTGAAAGACAACGGAGGTCCAGCCATGGGAGGAAACAGCAGGAAAGAGCCAGCATCAGGCTGGGGTAAGGGGACGCCTATTTCTTCAGCCTTCCCACCTCTAAAACACCTCGCAGATTTGACCATGAATGCACTCTTAAACTTGGGCCTCCCACAGACAATGCACTTTTGTCCTCACTTGGACTATTAACAGGGCTGTTAAGCACCACCCTGCACTGGGTGCCAGAGACACAGGTCAGGTTTGGGAATCCCTGCACCATTTAGCATGGGGCAAAAACAGCACAATGGGGATCCAGAACCCTGGCTCCCCACTAGCTGCACCGACTTTCTCCATCCGCCCATGATCCAGTCACAGCTCTGCTGGGGAGAGGACTCTGTGCCCAAAGTGCCTCCGGCTTCAAGGAGCTGCTCACAGGCCCAGCTTCAGGACCGAGCTGGGAGCCGAGGGAGAGGACCCGCCCCACGCTGACCTGGTCTCCTGTGGTTTCTGTGGCTGCAGCCAAGCTGAGGCAGCTCCTCCCCACGGCCCCAATTTCCTTTCCTTCATGGAGCAGCTCAACTGCTTCAGTCCTGCCCACACCCCTGGTGACACCCACAGAGGAAAGAAAATTTGGGGCACTCCTACCAGCTCAGGTGTCTTGAGACTGCTGTGTGCCTCTATGACTCAGAGACACCCAGCAGCCCTTTCCCAGCCTCCCCTCAGCAGATTCCAGTCTGAGGTGTTGAGGGTCCCCTGTCCAAAAGCCAAATGTTACAGTTTACCCTAAAAATACCCTGCAGCTTTTGATGTCATTCACACACAAAGACTTTGTTAATTCTGCTTTTTCTGGGCTTGACAGGCAGTCAGGAAACAGGCATCCTTGGGTGGAATACAAATTTAATTTTGGCCTATTTCATCCAGATGATTTGTCTGTTTCACAGATCAAGAAGCACTTTACTTTCTTTTTTTTTTTTTTAAAGATTTATTTTTATTGCAAAGTTAGATATACAGAGAGGAGGAGGGACAGAAAGAAGATCTTCCGTCCAATGAGTCACTCCCCAAGAGGCCACAACTGCCAGAGCTGTGCCAATCCGAAGCCAGGAGCCAGGAACTTCCTTCAGGTCTCCCACACTGGTGCAGGGTCCCGAGGCTTTGGGCCATCCTCAACTGCTTTCCCAGGCCACAAGCAGGGAGCTGGATGGGAAGTGGAGCTGCTGGGATTAGAACCGGCGCCCATCTGGGATCCCAGGGCATTCAAGGCGAGGACTTCAGCCACTACGCCATCTCGCCAGGCCCAAGAAGCACTCTTCTACATGACTCACCCAACCACCAGTGTGACAGGTGAGAACTGCTTTCACTTCATAAAGGCAGACGGGACGTGTGCTCAACGTCAAAGTCTAGGTCAGGGAAAGCTACTTCTCAGCCTAGCCTCCCCCAGCCTCCTCCTCGCTGCCTGGCATGGCTCTCAGCTTGCCCTTGGAGCTCAGGCCCGCCAACAGAATAAACACACAGGACCCGAAGGGAGCAAAGGTAATCCGGCCATAGCAGAAGCAAGCTAGGGACACTCCCCTCCACCTTTCCCTAACTCACAGAACTTCAGGAAATGCATGGAAACCGACTTCTCTTCTAGAGCACACCTCCCTGACTCCTCCATCCTCCTGACCTCACACAGTGGGAGTAACTGCTCCCCACCCTGTGAAGGTGCAGTAGAAGCAGAAAAGGAAGTGGAGATGAGAAAAAGGGAGCGAGGGAGGAGGGGGGAGGCTGCAGAGGAAAGCACAGAGCAGGTGAGGGGCAGAGGGAGAGCCACATTCACTGGCCTGCTCACAGCTCCTGGAGCTTGCTCCAGGCGGGCCTTAGGGAAAGGCACAGGCCTGGGGAAGGTGAGGGGCAAGATGGGCACTTCCTAAACTCCTGCGGGCTCTGGGCCACATACATTGCCTTCTGGGTCTCATGTCACTGGCACAATGCTGAGGTCAGTCTCCCTGCCCCATGTCACAGACGAGAAAACAGGAAGCTGAGACAGGGAGAGCTGAGCCTCCCATCGCCTGGAGATCCACAGCAACCCTGCTGAGCCTACAAGGAACTGGGCTCGGAGCAGACACGGCAGGCTGTCCCGAGTGGTGATGGATCTGCCAGTGCTCAAATGAGATAGGCCAGTTAATGGGAGGAGTGGCTGCAGGGTGTTCACAGTGGCCCTGCCCTGGAGAAGGGGCCAGGCCTGCCTGGGGCGGGGGCGGGCACCTGTCTCTGAACTGACCAATAGTCCAGTCCACACTCATGACCCCGATGCTGTGTAGCAGCCAGCTCTCTGACCACCCAGCACACAGGAAACCTGCACAGGCCAACCCACCATCTCATCACATGTTAACAGGAGTGGCTGGCATCCCCTGCCCCAGCTTGCCAGGAATTCTAGGTCTGAAATCACTCCTAGGTTCCAGGAAGACCTAGCCTGAGAGGGCAGCCCGCTCGCTGAGGAAGACAACGTTGTCCATGGAGCCTCCCACGATGCTGGGAGGGCTGCGCTGCTCCCACGTCAGACCAAACACCAGCCAATGCTCTGCTCAAGGCATAATGTGGCAGATCCCAACGCAGGGGAGTCCAACACCAGCTCACAGGCTGCCCCACACTGCCTTTCTCCAGACCCAGAAGGCTGGGGAGTCTCCGACTCCAGCACTGTGCAGGAATACAGTGTGTCAGAGTTCCCAAAGCACTTCCACAACACTTCGTCTCTCATTTTCAACCCCCGTGAAACATGCAGGAGTGACTCAGAGTGACTCGGTGCATGTAGACTCAAATGCTGGGGTTCTGGACCAAATGCTGCTCCTCCCACTTAGTCCAGATCCCAGGAAGGGATGCTGTATGCCTCAGGGAACACCACCACCACCACGGCAAAAGGGGGAAAGCCACCAAACCCCCTCGAGACGGCACAGACCAAGAAGCTTTTTAGAATTTTTAACTAATTTCATCCTGCACAGTTACCCCAACACTATAAGGCATCATTCCAACAGCTAAAAAAATGGACTTCTTTCCCTGATTATTTACATACTGATTCTTCAAAAATTAGCAACAGTACACATGTTAACTCAGTTCCCATGTATCTACTTGTGTGCCCTCCTAATCCACTCCGACTGTTGGACTTCTACCAGCATGTAGAGCAGGCTTCCTCGCTCACAGTGCTACAGGCAGGAAAAAGGCAAACTATTAATTCAGCCAATGACAGCAGTAAAGTAGAATTTATAGGAATAACTGTCCCTCTCTGAAATCAAAGGTTTTCAAACTACTGTATGAACTGGAATGTAAACGCATGTCGGAACAGAAGAGGCAAATGAGCCCCTGAAACCTAAATACCCCGACGCTCAGTCGGCTAGGTGTGAGTGTGGGCCGGAACCAGTATGGAGACCTCAGAATTCAGGTTCTAACAACAGTGGCCCCGGGCCGACTCAGCCATCACAGGAAGTATGCTGATCTAGGACTCTGTTCCTGGTGCTCCAGGGGCAAGTCACAAGAGGACCAGCGCAAGGCACAAGGCACCATGAGGACTGGAACACACGGAGTCTGAGGTGGCCGTTAGAGCAGTCAGTGCCATGACTCGGCCTCTCGCAGAGCCGCCCAGTGTCAGCCCTGAACACACACCCCTTTCATGCCACACATTCTCCCCGGGGCCTGGTTTCCACGTGTGGGGCTGCAGGTCAATCAAACAGCACGTTTCAACTTCCAGCACACCATGAGATACCACGGCCACCGACAGCGGGGTGTGTACAGCAGCTTTCAGCTTCATTAGTTTCATAAATTATCTTTTTGATGCTATTCAGTTGAGACACATAACTGACAGTTACCACTGACAAACATGAATACACGGCGGGAAGAGGAGCTGCTGACCCACGCGAGGCATGTGCCAACCAGGCATTGCAGAGGAAGGCTGTGGGCAGGCCCTCGGTGGGTCTTGGCAATCAGCAGCAGGTTGCAGTTATAACTTGGGCTCCCCATCCACTTCTCAAGGCCACTGCCAGGCCTCTCGGCTCTCCTGGGGCCTAGGGCCACTCAGCCACACCTTTCACACCATCAGACCTCACACACAGACACAGTGGGAGAGGGCAGGGCAGTCTTTACTGAGGTTCTTTTTATTAAAAAAACGCTTTGTAGTACAGACCACAGCCTGCAGGGGCAAAAGCTGTCTGAATCTGCTGCCCCATGAACTATAATCCGAAGTAGCACTGACTTTATTCTTAGTCCCCTGCGGTCACGATGGTGAAGGGGAGATGGGCGGAGGTGGGACAAGGGCCAGCTGTCTGACAGGACCCTCACGTTGCCACTGGCTTCATAGCAGCTGGCTGCTCCAGGCTGGCCATGGGGGACCAGTCACTGTGGCCCCCGCAGTGGCTGGCACAGAAGCAGCTGCCCAGAACCTGGGCCTGGTTGGCACGAGGTGCCAAACCCCTAGAGGAGACTGCAGCCCAGCTCCTCGTCCTCGCTCACCCTCCTCATTGGGGTTGGCCATGGGGAGGCCTCACTTGCGCTTCTTCTCCTGTGTGCTGGTGAACCAGGAATCCAGGAGCTTCTTGCTGTAGTACAGCTGCCAGGCGTGCACCTGGACTGCCAGCACCAGCACCAGGTACATGACGGACACGGCGGAGAAGCCGAAGAGGAAGCGGTAAGCCTTGCCGTGGCGGTAGAGCTGCTGGGCGGCAGGGAGCATCTCCATGCTGCCGTAGATGAGCGGGGCGATGGAGAAAAGCCCCGTACTGACCATGGAGAGCACCAGGTAGCTGATGTTGTTGCGCGGGAAGGACAGCAGCCCCAGGAGCGAGGGCGCCACGCTCAGCAGGTACGGATACTCCCACTGGTAGGGCATGGCGACCTGGTCATGCGGCAGGAGCCTCAGGTGTCCCACGCTCATCTTGGCGACCAGCAGCAGCCACAGGACCAGGTGCACATAGATAAGCTTCTTGATCTCGTACTTGAGGGTCACGCTGTGGGGCAGAGAGAGGGAGGGCCTTTCACTTGCAGGTTTCTGATCACCAGCCACAGGCAAGGCAGGTGTACCAGACAGGGGCCCTGCCCAGAGGTGGGGCTGTTCAAAAATGAGGCAACAAAGTTCTCCTGGGACCTGAGGATACCACCACTCCCTTCTGTGTGGGGATGGGATGGCAGCAAAGGCCAGAGAGGCAGCTCCGGGAAGGCTGGAGTCGCACAGGCCACACTCAGCCAACAGCAGCATGCAGAAAGGCCCTAAGCATTTGTCTTCCAGAAAACCAAGCAACAGAGTGCAGCAAGAACCAACTGTGGGCAGGCGAGTCCTGCCAACCAGCAGACTGCGCAAGCGCAGGTTTAAAAGCAGATGGGGGGGCTCGGTGCAATACCCTAGTTGCTAAATTCTTGTCTAGCAACTGCTGGGATGACATATGAGCACCAGTTTGTGATGCAGCGGCCATGCTTCCCATCCAGCTCCCTGCTTGTGGCCTGGGAAAGCAGTCGAGGATGGTCCAAAGCCTTGGGACCCTGCACCCACGTGGGAGACCCGGAAGAAGCTCTTGGCTCCAGATGAACTCAGCTCTGGCCTTTGTGGCCACTTGGGGAGTGAACCAGCAGATGGAAGATCTTTTTCTCTGTCTCTCCTTCTCTTTGTAAATCTGCCTTTCCAATGAAAAAATTTTTAAAAATCTTTTTAAAAAGAAATGTGCAAGGAACATTCTGGAAAGTTCTGTGGATTTAAGGAAGATCCTTTTTAAATTCTTAATTATTTTTAAATTTTATTTTAAAATATAGCAAAGCATGGAGGGGGATAGTCATTTGTAGGCTACAAGAACCACGAGTGGGTTTATTGTTTGTTTGTTTCTTAATATTCTTTAAGATGCAGCCTGCATGCAAGCACCAGGGCTCCTCCCGTCACCCAGCGCTGGGCAGGTGCAGGACCGAGTGCGTGCAAGAAGGTACAAACGTCTCTCCCGCGGGCGTGTTTGTTGCGCCCACGTCTCCCCCGACCCCCATCTGCCGGCTACGGGGCTGTCCCTGGCTGCCACTGCCCCGAGGGACTCGATAATTCCACGAGGGCTGACCATTTCCTCAAGGTCACGCATCCCCGGTCGGCGTCCGCGCGGCACTCGCGGGTGGACGGCGGCGGCCTTGGGGGTCTCACACCCCCGAGGCCCGCCGGCGCCCCTCGCCTCACGCCGTACCTCATCTGGTAGTGTGTGGCGACACGCTCCCGGTGCTGGAAGTCGCTGCCGTCCGTGCCGGCCGCTCGCGGGCCCGCCCGAGACGCCATGCCGCCCCGCCCGGCGCCCCGGTACCCCCGGCACGACCCTCGCCGAGCCCTAGGGGAACCCGCTTTCTCCGCGCCGCGGCGACTCAGCGGCCCTGCGGCCAAGCGGATGGGCCCGAGAAACTTCCGGCCTCTCTGTCTCCGCAGGGAGGACCGACTCTATGATTCCGCCCCGCCCCGCCCCCACGAGTGAGGCGCGCCGGAAATGGACTCGGCCAGCGTTAGCCGGACAGGGGCCCGCTGCTGCGTGTGTATACCGCCCCTCTGGGTGCTAGTCCCCGCTCCTTCGCTTCCAATTCAAGCCGGTCCGCACCCTGGCAGGGCGGCAGGTGGATGCTTCGGGTGCTGGGGCTCCTGCCACTCCCAGGAGTTCCGGCTCCTGGCTCCAGACTAGCCCAAGCCCAGCTGGTGCAAACACTTGGGGAGTGCACCAGTATATGGCATATTTCTCTCTCTGCCCTTCAAGTAAATAAGATGTTTTCTTAATCGAATACGTTGAAAAGTTGTGTACACTAGCCATGTGAAGAGATGCGCCGTCCTATGTTATTAAGGAAGTGCAAATCAAAATCCCTTTAAGATGTCACCACGTACCTGTCAGCCAGTTAGTTGTGGAGTGAACCAGCAGGTGGAAGACCCCTCTCTGTCTGTCTCCCTTAGCGTGCTGTGGCTTTACCAAATTTGAAGTCTTACCTGTGGCTGCGCTGGGACCGTCTTCCGCTGCTATTCCAAGGCTAGCAGGGAAAGGGTCAGAAGTGGAGCAGTGGGGACAAAAGCCAGGGCCCGTTTGGGCTGCCAGTGTTGCAAGAGCTGGATCTGCTAGCCACAACGCCGGTCATTTTGTAGGGTAGTTCCCACAGACTAGGGTCACTGCTGTGGAATCAATTATAATCAAACCAGTAACGTCTGCGTCTGATTCCTTGGCTGCCCACGACGTAGTCTGAAGGGTTAAGGATGGCATCCAGGGGTGGGTCTCAGCCACACTGTGGTTTCTGTATATCGAGCATTGTTCATGCTTCAGGGTCATTTGCATTTCACTTTCGTGAATTCTGTTCATATTCCTTGCCTGTTTTTTCTATTGTGTTGTTTCTTAACTATTTATGAGAGCACTGCAAAAAGTTCAAGGAAATGTGAAATTGAGTTGTTTTGATGCAAAATAATTTTTAAAGACTTTTTTTTTATTTGGAGAGGCGATATGTAGAGAAGATGATAGAAAGATCTTTTCTCTGCTGACTCACTCCTCAAGTAGCCGCAGTGGCTGGAGCTGAGCCGATCCGAACCCGGGAGCCAGGAACTTCTTCCAGATCTCCTACACGGGTGCTGGGTCCCAAGGCTTTGGACCGTCCTCTTTCACTTTCCCAGGCCACAGGCAGGGAGCTGGACAGGAAGTGGAGCAGCTGGGATGTGAATTGGCTACGAATATGAGATCCTGGTGTGTACAAGGCAAGGATTTAGCCACTAGTCATGGTGCAGGGCACAACACAAAATAATTTTTTGATTCGTACATAGTTTTTTATAGTATGTATTTCCCTGAACTGTTTGTTATGTTCTATTCAATTCAAAGGCCGAATGACAGAAATTGAGACACAGAGAGAGCTGGTTCACTCCCCAGATGGTCTAAACAGCTGCTTCTGAGCCAGGCCTGGGCCAGGCTGAAGCCAGAAGCCTCCTTCAGGCCTCCCACCTGGGTCCAGTGGTCCCACCTCTTGGCTATTCTCTGTTGCTTTCCTAGATGCGTCAGCATGAAGCTGGATGGGAAGCTGAGCAGCGGGGACTTGTAAGCACTGTTACAGGATGCTGGCTGATGCTGTGCGTGCCAATCCCACTGGAACTTTCTGGTGTCCTTCCTAGACATGGATTTCTTCCATAAAGCTTTTGAAGTACCCTCACATAGATGGGGAGAGAGGGGAAAATGAGAGCAAAAAAAAAAAAAAAGAATTAACTTTGGGCCTGGTGTGGTAGCCTAGCAGCTAAAGTCCTTGCCTTGCACGTGCTGGGATTCCATATGGGTGCTGGCTCTAATCCTGGGAGATCTGCTTCCCATCCAGCTCCCTGCTTGTGGCCTGGGAAGGCAGTTGAGGACGGCCCAAAGCCTTGGGATCTTGCACCTGCATGTGGGAGACCCGGAAAAGGCTTCTGGATCCTGGCTTCAGATTGTCTCTGCTTGGACTATTGCATTCATTTGGGGAAGTGAATTATCGGACGGAAGATCTTCCTCTCTATCTCTTCTTCTCTCTATATATCTGACTTTTCAGTAAAAATAAATATATAAAAAGAATTAATGTCTTGTGTGGGATATGAGTTGTGATGTATTTTCCTAGTTATTGCATGACATCTGACTTTGGTCCTGGTGTTACAATTTATCCTACTGGGTATCTCTCTCTCTCTCTCTCTATTTAGTGATTTATTTACTGGGCCCAGCAGGGTATCTCTTAAGGCAATTGCATGCATTGTTCTTTCTGGACTCCCTTCTGCACTCCTGGGTTCTGAGCCTCCAGCTCACTGTCACCTTTCCTTCCTAGAAGGTGAATTCCCCCCTGGGCAGGGACAGGATCTCCATCTGCTCCCAGCACTGCCCAGGGGCCTGGCACCTGCTCAACACTGAGGAGAGGCTGGGTGACTCAACTCCATCTGGGCCAAGGCAGCCTTCTGTCTGGAGCCATGGGGAAGAGCCCTGGGCCCAGCCCCAATCCCCAGGCAGGTGCTCCCTGGACCCCGAGTCCCACCTGTCACCTCCAGGCAGGTCTACTTGCACCCTGGGTCCCATTCGCAACCCCCAGGCAGGTGCTCCTGGCTTAGGCTCAGTTACCCTTGTCCTCACAGAGTCTGCCCTGGGATTTCCTAAGAGCTGGGCTGCGGCTGAGTCTCCACCCGCCAATCAGGAGATACCAAGCATTGGCTGGATAAGCAGGCGGGTCTGATGGGACCCAAGGGAGGGGCCCGACCCTTTCTCCAGAACTTTCTTCAGCCTCTGGGCTTGCACTCTCCCCTGGCTCTGAGCCAGCCTTGAAGTGTAAGCTGTCTGAGCTCCTGTCCCACAGCCTGTGGTTGCCTGCGGGTGTGGGAAGGAGTGGTCCTGTTTCCTGCCGACATCTCGGCCCCTAGCAGCGCTGGCATATAGTGAACACTTAATGAAGTTTCCTAGGAGCTCAGGCTGTGACACAGCATGCTAAACTGCTGTTTGTGACACCAGCAACTTAACACATTTGTGTTAGTTCAACTTCCAGCTGCTCTGCTTCCAATACAGCTTCTTGCTAACACGGCAGAAGATGGTCCAAGTGCTTGGGCTTCTGCACCCCTAAATGAGACCAGAACAGAGTCCTGGGCTCCTGACTTCAGCCTTGTCCAGCCCTGGTTACTGTGGCCTTTGGGGAAGTGAGTCAGCACATGGATGGGCCATGCGGGTCCCCCCTGAATGAATGCTGGGCTGCCTGAGGGAGTGATTTAGATCTGAAAACCCTACTAATCGTGACTGCTGCCAGCCCTAGGATGTGCTAGGCTCTGTCGCAAGGACATTCCATGACAGTCTCCTGTGAGTTCTCTGCAGGCCTCCATGTCAGTTCAAAATGCAGCTTCAAGATGTTGGGTGATACAGCCTGGAGCCAGGACGCCTAGCAGACATGGCTTCCACATCACAGAAAAACTGGCAGAAACATAGATTCCTAGGCCCCAACGCAAACATTTGGAGTTAACAATTCTGGGGTGTGGGTCAGCAATCTGAATTTCCAAAATCAATTAGGTTACACTGATTTGTATTGAAAGAGAGATAATTGTTCACCCATTGGTTCCTTCCTTAGGGCTGGACTAGACTGTAGTCAGACACGAGGAGCGCTCTGTGGATCTCCAGGTCGATGTCAGGGATGCAAGCTGGAGCCCCGCCCCCTGCTGCCCCCAGGATGGGCTGTCCATCAGCGGGCAGCTGGATTGGTGGGTAGGAGCCCAGGGCTTTAAGCCAAGCACTCCAGGATGGGACCCAGGAGTCCCCACTCAGTCTGAGTCTTTAAAAATATGTGTACTTGAGAACCAGAATTACACACAGAAAAAGAGAGAGGGCCCAGTGCAGTAGCCTAGTGGCTGAAGTCCTCACCCTGCATGTGCCAGGATCCCATATGGGCACCGGTTCTAACACCAGCTTGGGGAAGATCTTTCTCTCTGTCTCTCCTTCTCTCTCTACATCTGACTTTCCCATAAAAATAAATTCACTGAAGACACCTTTTGCAAGACTGGATGGGATGGCAGTGGGGAGGGGAGGGAACTTGGAAGGAAGACCCCAGTGCCTATTAAACCATGTCATAAAATCATAAAATAAATTAATAAATAAATCTTTTTTAAAAAAGAAAGAGAGACAGAGATAAAAGATCTTCCATCTGCTGGCTCACTACCCAAATGGCTACAATGGGCAGGGCGTGCCCAGGATGAAGCCAGGAGCGCCACCTCACTTTCCAGTGTGGGTGACAAGGACCCTGAATTTGGTCCACCATCTGCTGCTTTCCCAGGGGCATTGGCAGGAATGGGATTTGAAGCAGAGCAGCTGGGACTTGAACCAGCACCCCAATCTGGGATGCAGGGATTACAAGCAACAGTTTAATGTGCAGTGCTACAAAGCTGGTCCTCAGTCAGGTTTTCAACCAGCCCTACAACTCACTGGGATGTAACAAGGTGTGAAAATGTTGTGCTAAAATAAAGATGATGTTGGGCCTGGCGACATGGCCTAGTACCTAAAGTCTTCACCTTGAACATGCCGCTGGGATCCCATATGGGCACCGGTTCTAATCCCAGCAGCTCCACTTCCCTTCCAGCTCCCTGCTTGTGGCCTGGGAAAGCAGTCGAGGATGGTCCAAAGCCTTGGGACCCTGCACCCGCGTGGGAGACCTGGAGGAAGCTCCTGGCTCCTGGCACTCACTTGAGGAGTGAATCATCGGACGGAACTTCTTCCTCTCTATTTCTCCTCCTCTCTGTATATCGGACTTTGTAATAAAAATGAAATTAAAAAAAAAATAAAGATTGAAGTCTTTTTTTCCAATTGACTCATTTTTGACATAACATTCCTAATGAAACCATACAAGTCACCTTCTGATTAAAGTGAACAATTCTTAGTATGTATATATAGATACACAGATTTCTTTATTAGAAAGTCAAATATATATAGAGGAGGAGAGACAGAGGAAGATCCTCCATCTGTTGATTCACTCCCCAAGTGGCTACAACGGCTAGAGTTGCACCGATCTGAAGCCAGGAGCCAGGAACTTCCTCCAGGTCTCCCACACGGGTGCAGGGTCCCAAGGCTTTGGACTGTCCTCGACTGCTTTCCCAGGCCACAAGCAGGGTACTGGAGGGGAAGCGAGGCCACCAGGATTAGAACTGGCACCCCTATGGGATCCCAGTGCATGCAAGGCTAGGACTTTAGCCACTACGCTACTGTGCTAGGCCCAGTTCTTAGTATAATTACAGGGTTGTGCAACCATCACCCAAACAAATTCTGAGTGGACTTCACAGGCAGACTTTGTGTGTCCCCCCCCGGAAGAACCCTGCAACCGTGAGCACCACTTCCCATTCTCTTCCCCGCATTCCTCTCCACTTAGCAATTGCTAATTGATTTTCAGCTTTTCACCTCTGGTAGGAAATGCCTAAAAGAGGTATTTCCGTTTATCTGGGCTCTTGTTATTGGATCTTCCCCTTGGCTCGTGTTTCCATGACTTCTTACTGGAGCAGCACACAGGCCCCTGGTTTTGTTGTTGTTATTAATTCTTTCAGTTCTTTATTTACTTGAAAGGCAGAGTTAGAGAGAGAGGGGAAGAGGCAGAGGCAGGGAGAAATCTCCCACCTGCTGGTTTACTCCCCAGATGGTCACAGAGTTCAGGGGCTTTATCCAGGACTCCCACCTGGGTGGCAGGGGTCCAAGCACTGGGGCCGTTCTCCACTGCTTTCCCAGGCACATTAACAAAGAGCAGGATTGGAAATGGAGCAACTGGGACTTGAACCAGCACGCATCCAGGAAGCAGCATTGCATTGCAGGCAGAGGCTTAACTCACTATCCCACAATGCTAGTTCCCCTCCCCCAGCCTAGTCTACCCTTTTTATTGAGAAACAGAACCCTTGTGGACCACCTGCACCTTCACGAATCCCTCAGCACGTGATGGAAAGGTCAAAATGCTCCTTCTGCATCTGGGGACAGTGCTGTGAGCCCGAGGCACAAGTGCCTGTGAGGACCCAGAGACTGGCAGACACACATGTCAGTGGTCGTAGCTCTTACACGCTGGGCCGCTAGGCATCCCAGGCTCTGCTCCGACTCGACAGCACCCCGGTAACGACATCACCTGCCAAGTGACCACTTGGTGAAGCCTTCCTTTATTCTGAATCCGCATCACAACTCCGGCGATCTGGAACCGTGACAGTGGGGTTGCGGGAGGGACAGACACAGGGCTCACGGGGTGCCAGCCTGGGAAGGGCTTGGCCTGGGGCCGCAGCCCACATCTACTGCTTTCTGTACACCCATCCTCAGCCAGACCCTCGCACAGCCCAGCAAATCAGGCCCTCCCATAAAGTTGAACTGACTTCAGATCCCGGGGAGGGGGGGGCGACTGTCCCTCCCCTTGCTCTTTTCTCCAGCTGGGGCTCCAGGCTAAGGGAGGGGCTTCCCTGGGAGCTGGACATAAAATGAAGGGAGGCCTGGGCGGGCAGGACCATACGGAGACTGCAGGGCGCGCTGAGGAGTCGGGCTCTTTGAGAGCAGGTGAGGAAGGGCTGGGCAGTTTGGGCTGGGAGGGAGCTAAGCAAGGCTGGGTGTCTCTCTCTGGAGGCCCCTGAGGCCTTACAAAGCAAAAATGACTTCAACTGCGGAAGGCTTTGCTGCCAACCCAGCTCCTTTGTCCCCCCGTTCTGTGCCATGCTCTCCACATGTTGGGGTGGGTACCCAGGGACGGGGGTTGGAGCTGAAACAGACCCTGAGGCCCTGCAAAAGGCCAAAAGTAGATCCGTGATCTGCCCAAGGTTTTCCTTGGGGCCTCAAGGCTGCCTGAGGCTAGCCGTGGGTCAGGGTGAGGCAAAGCACTGGTGCACAGGGGGCAGAGCACATGGGCTGTGTGTGTGTGTGTGTGTGCTCGCACAGTCACACATGCGGCATGTATAGTCCAATACGGAAGCCACGGCAGCCATTTGCCCTTACATGATGCAATAAGGTTCCTTAGTGGCCCCAGCCACATGTGGCTGGCAGCCGGCCCTGGACAGTCTAGCACAGAACCCCGCTGAACCCCAGGAAGCCTCCCAAGGGTCTCAATTGCCCAAGGCTTCACCAGGCCACACGCCATGGCGGTCTCTGGACCATAGGTGAGGGGTTGGTCACCTCCTGCCAGCGTTGTTGTATGGACTCTGTCCCCAGGGACAGGAGAGCCAGGCAGGGCCTCTTTTGTCCAGCTTGGAATCCTCATTCAGTGAGATCAGAGCCGGAGCTGGAGGAACATGGAGTGAGTTAAGAGGGACAGGAGGAGTACTTGGAGGAAGTGGGTTGCTGAGTCTGTGCTTGGGGGGTGGTGGCTGGCGGAGGGCTGCCTTGGGCATAGTCAGCATGCAGAGCTGGACAGGTGAGTTGGGATGGGAGACCCTTGCCAGTGCTTGTTAGATGGGAGTGGGCTGGGAGGGACAGGGAGGACAGAAGGCGCGGGCAGGGGGACAGGTTTCGTCATGTCCAGCAGCTGGGTGGGCCTTCCTTCTCAGGTGCAAGGCGCTGCAGCTGACCAGCATGGAATACGCTGCCAAGTCACTGAGCTTTCTCTATCCCAAGTCCTGCTCCAGGTGAGAGCCCAGGCGGCAGGGAACGTGTGGGAGTGCAGCCAGGGGTTTATCCGTCTTGCCCAAGCAAGCTCCGACTCAGGAGGTCTGCGGGTGGGCCTGAAACTTGGCCCCACCCCCCAATGCAGACCCCGACTTTCCTTGAGCCAGCCCCCTCCCCTCCTACACAGCCTCCTGCAGACTTCCTACAGCCGGAGTGTAGGGCAGGGCAAGAGGGCTGGGAGTAGTGGGCAGTCCACCTGACACACGCCCGCCTGTCTGTCCCCAGGCGCTGGGCCGTGGGCACCTCGGTGGTGACCCAGCAGCTGCTGTCGGAGGCTGGCCCTGAGCCCTACAGGGCCCGTCCTTGGCGCGTGAGCAACGCAGATCGCAGCATACGCAAAGGTGTCTTGGCGCACAGCCTGCAGGACCTCAGGTGCAAGGTAGGACCCAGCAGCCTTCCACGCTCTCAGATGACCAGCTCGCCGGCCTAGCCACTGCCATGGTCAGCCCGGGGGCAGGTGCCGCGGCAGTTGGAGGCGATTTTGCTACACAGACTCAGGCTGCCTCTTCCAGTAGCTCCTAAAACAGAGTTGGTGAGAACAGGAAATGGTGCATCCAGCTGGAGCCTTTCCATCATACAGATTGTTGGAAACTTTTGGAAGACTTCAACATTTCTCCTTTTAAAAAAAAAAATTATTATCCTACTAATTTTCCCTTTTTTAGTGCGTTACTTGGGCAGATTCGTCTAGTCCCTGCGTTTTGGAATGCCCCACTCTAGCCTGTCTCTGTGAGGGGTTCAGGGGAAGTGGTGAGGTTCCACCCCTAGAAGAGGGTCTTCCGGTTGGACCAGCAGGGACAAGTGCCTGTCCAGGCTGCGGCAGACTGAGGGCACGGGGAGCGCAGTTGGCCAGGAGCTGCCAGGGACCGGGACATTGGGCCTCCCCTTCAAAAGTAACAAAAGGCATGGAGGGTGGTTGTTTTAAGCTGACATGAAACAATCATCAAGGAAGAAGAGCAAGAACAGCACAATCTTTCCCGAGTCACTGGACACTCAAACTCTTCAGCCCGTCTAGACAAAAAGATTCTCACTCTTACCTGAAAGGCAGAGTTAAAGAGAGGGAGAAAGAGACAGAAACACAGAAATCCAGAAAGAAATCTATCCACTGATCGATTGCCCAAACGACAGCCGGAGCTGAGCCGATCCAAAGCTAGGAGCCAGGAGCCTCTTCCAGGTCTCCCATGTGAGGGCGGGAGTTCAAACACTTGGGCCATCTTCTGCTGTCCTTCTAGGCACAGCAGCAGGGAGTTGGGTTGGAAGTGCAGCAGCCAGGATTCCCACGGGTGTTCCTGGGAAGTCCAGTGTTACAGGCGAAGGTGTGGCCTGCAGCACCACAATGCTGGCCCCTGCAGGGCTTGTCTCCCGTGTGTCCCTGGGTCTGCATCTGTGCCTTATCTGTCATGGCTTTGACCGTGTGGAAAATCGGTTGACCGTCCGTTATGCCTGGTATGATTTCTGCATTTGGGCCGTGTACTAGCTGGTCCTTTGGGCAGGTGGATAGTGCCACCTGGAATGCCCAAGTTCCATGTCAGCGTGCCTGGTTCAGGTCCTGGCTCCTTTGCTTCTAGCCCAGCTTCCTGGGAACACACACTCATCAAAGCAGCGGGTGAGGGCACCAGTCCTGGAGCCCGTGCCCATGGGGGATCTGGGATCAGTTCCAGGCTCCCGACCTCAGCCTGGCCCAGCCCTGACAGGCGTGTGTGCATTTGGGAAACAATGGAGGATCTTTCTGCCTTTTAAATAAAGTGAAAATCAGTTTAAACGGGAAAATGAAGACATTGTAAAGGGATGCATGCTGTAGGAGCCTGTGTGAAGGGGCTGGGATACAGGATGCTACGGAATGGAGAATGGAGTGCCTGGGGCGTGGCTGCTGACGGGTTCTGGGTTTCTTTCCGGGTGATGAAAACATATTACGGATGTGACCCCTTTCCCCAGCCCCCACTCCCACCACTGCATTTTGTTGGCTTGCACCATCCTAGATTACAGTCCCGAAGCCAGGCACCATGAGGTCCTTTAGTCTCGGGTGGGGGTGGTGACTCCCACGGCCTGGGGCTCCCTTGCTCTTCTTGGGAAGCTGTGCTGATTGCTATGTCATCCTCTGTGGTTCCCTGGACGTATGGGAGCACCCCTGGTATCCTCCTCCAGGTCCGGGACGCCCTGAAGCTGGCGGACGGGCCCTTCTTGCTGGTGCTGGAGGAAGATGGCACGATGGTGGAGACAGAGGACTACTTCCAGGCTCTGGCAGCAGATACCGTGTTCATGGTTCTCCAGAAGGGCCAGCGGTGGCAGGCCCCGTGGGAACAGGCAAGAGGGCCCACCTGGTGCTGGGTGTGGGGCAGAGCTGGGAGCCTTGGGGAAACCCTCGAGGGGTGTCAGTCATATGTCTGTCTTTGCCGTAGGGGACTGGGGGCCAACTGTCCCTCTCCCGTGAGAACACCAAGAAGATTGATGTGGCCCGCATCACCTTTGACCTGTACAAGCTGCACCCTCGGGACTTCCTGGGCTGCCTGAACGTGAAGGCCACCCTCTATGACACGTACTCGCTCTCCTACGACCTGCACTGCCAGGGGGCCAAGCGTGTCATCACGTGAGTCTGTGCGAGCAAAGTAGCAGCACTGGCATCCCCTGAGGGTACCAATTCGAGTTCCGGCTGCTCTGCGTCTGACCCAGCTCCCTGTTAATGTGACTGGGAAAGCAGTGGGATATGACCCGAGCCTTTGGGCCCTACACTCATGTGGGAGACCTGGAAGAAGTGCTTGGCTTCAGGCTTTGGTCTGGCCCAGCCCTGGCTGTTGGGGCCACCTGGGGAGTGAACCAGCGGAAGGAAGAGCTCTTTTTCTCAGTGTCTCTCCTTTCACTGTGACTCTGCCTTCCAAATAAACACATCTTCAAAAAAATAAAAATTACAGTAAAATAGGCTTTTCAAAAACTTTGTGAAAATGGAATTAACAGATAAGTTTACTTTGGGGGTGTTTTCATAATACCCATTTCCCACAAACTTCACAGCAAGTTTAATGTATCTGGAATACAGAGGCCAAGACAGTCAGAGACACATCTGCCACGTGCTAGTTCACTCCCCGAATGCCTACCACAGCTGGGGCCAGGCAAGGCTCCAGTCAGGCGTTCTGAACGCCATGCCGCCTCCCACCCGAGGGCCAGGAACCCAAGTTCCTGTCGCCTGCTGCCTCCCAGGCTGTGCTTCAGCAGGAAGCTGCCTTCACGAGCAGAGGTTTGTCCCAAGCCCAGGCACTTCCAGAGGGGCCGTGAGCACCTTAACTATTAAATCTTAGCCCTATTTAAGGGGACAGGTCAGTGGCATTAAGGGCAGTTGCTATCTTGTGCAACTATGTCCAGAACTTTCTCATCATCCTGAATAGGAACACTGTGCCCATCTAGTAATCGCCGCTCCCCACTCCCTGGGAGCCCGCAAACCTCCTGGCTGCTCTCTGGTCCCAAGGCCCAGCCCATGCCAGACAGCCCCACCTGCGTCCTCTGAGCCTGGCCTCTCTGCCTTTACCTGCTGGTTTGGGGGTTCCTCTGTGCTCCAGCGCAGAGCAAGGTGTCAGTCCTTTTGAAGAAAATGGACCCAAGCCTGAACCTCGTGCAAGGCCAGGGCCGGGAGGCGGCGGTGGGGAGGGGGCAGGACAGGAGGGTCTTGTCCTGTGTTTGATGCCAGTGTCTTCTGCTTCCATTAGGGAAGTGCTGCGCTGGGCGCTGCTAGGCATGCGGGCCACAGGGCACGTACTGCTCGGCACCTCCTGGTACATGCAGCGGCTCCTGGATGCCACCGAGGACAGCCAGCAGCCGCCCGAGGGCAGGGCCTCCTCCCTCTTGCCCGCTTGTCTGCGGATTCTGCACTGAGAGCTCAAGCCCTCCGAGATCCCTGCTCAGCACCAGGTGGGGTCCCCAGTACACTCTGGGGGTCTCACACATGCGCACAGCTGACGTGTACAGCTCTCACTCCCCTACCCCTGTCCCCTTCACATACAGGCCTGAGTCTGAGGAAACAGCAGGAAGGGCTGGGAGTCTGGGTGGGCCAAACAAGGAACTGCTGGGCCTGGCTATGGGAGTGTCACCAGCTGGACCAGGGGCCCTAGCAGGCGATGGTGTGAAATCAACCCCTCAGCCACCTGTCTTCCCTTGCTGCACTTTGAAGATGCTCCTTCCTCTGCCTGGGTGGGTGGGTGAGCCCCCCAGTGTCAGAAGCTAGCTATCCCACAATAAATTGTTTTGTGGTTCATCCCCACTGCCTGTGTGCTCTGGTGTGAGGGAGGGTAGGCTTCTCTCTGGAAGTTAACAAAAGGGCAAGCAACACAAGAATCCGCCGCAGGGCCCAGCACAGTGGCCTAGCGGCTAAAGTCCTCGCCTTGAACGTGCCAGGATTCCATATGGGCGCCAGTTCTAATCCCAGCAGCTCCACTTCCCATTTAGCTTCCTGCTTAAGGCCTGGGAAGGGAAAGCAGTCGAGGAAGGAGGCCCAAAGCCTTGGGACCCTGCACCCGCATGGGAGACCTGGAGGAGTTTCTTGGCTCCTAGCATCGGATTGGCTCAGCTCCGGCCATTGTGGCCACTTGGCGAGTGAATCATGAGATGGAAGATCTTCCTCTCTGTTTCTCCTCCTCTATATTTCTGACTTTGCAATAAAAATAAATAAATCTTAAAAAAAAAAAAAGAATCTGCCACAAACCATTCTGTCACGTGGGATCCCAGGACATGGCAGTTCCCTGCACAGCAGACTTGGGGAGTGGAGACTTCAGCAGGCCCTCTACTCAGTATGGTGAAGCAACACTTCCTATGACAATCTTCCTGTCAGAAGAGTGTTGATGGGGGCTGAGGTTAAATGCTTTTCTGTCTTTTGTTTCTAACTTCATTTGTTCAGTTTATTTGAAAGGCAGAGCCAACAGAGACAGTAAGAGTTCTAGCTGCTAATTCACTCCCCAAATGCCCTACAACAGCTGGGGCTGGACAGGGCCAAAGCCAGGAACTCCATATGGACCTCACATTGGGTGGGAAGGACCAGGGAGCCACCTGCTGCTTCCCAGGGTACAGAGTGGCAGGAAGCTGGGTCAGAAGAGGAGGTAGGGCTGAACACTAGGCACTGGATCAAGGAACACAGCGGTCCAAAGGCATGGCCCAGCGGGTAAGCTCCATCCTGGCACCCCTGGGCCTCCCTCGCAGGTCACCAAAGCTCGCCCTCAGGGTTCCCAAGGGGGGCTCAGCAGCCTGAGGATGCTTGCAGATCACGCGCTCCTGTTCCTCAGGCTGCTGAGCCCCTGAGGATCAGGCAGCGCCAACAAGACTGAACCGACACTCTGTGCTTTGGTCTGCCAGCCTGAGCTTCAGAAATGGTGTCATTGTGTAACGCTTGCTCGGAAACCTATTTGGAATCACTCAAGTCCAGGACACAGGTCTGGGTTTGCACAGCTGCTGGGCCGGGAGCTGCCAGGGCCAGCCGATGCCGTTGGGCTCCTCCAGTCAGGTTACTGACAGCTGAGGTGGAGGGGACAGCAGGGGTCTGGCATCTATCCTGAGCCACCCTCTCCTGAGATCTGGTGACGCAAGAACCTTGCAGGACTGGCCTCTCTGTCCAGCGGCTGGAGGCGGCAGAGTAAAAGCAGTAGTCGGTAGTGAGTGGGGAAGTCACAGCCCTGGCCGTGGTTGGGAACCGGGGAGGGAAAATAGAAAAGGCAAGGGTAAAGGGGCTGGGGTCCATGAGGACCAGCCATAGCTGTGGTGGGGCCCGCTGGGCCGGGGGAGGGTTAAGGGGCTGGGGTCCCATGAAGACCAGCCATAGCTGCGGGTGGGGCCCACTGGGCCAAGGGAGGCAGTGCACTGAGGATTCTAACCAGCACAGGACCTTCAGCCAAGCACAGGCACGCCCTTCCAGTTGAGCCCAAGCAAGATCAATCCCCAAAGCCCATTTTCACAGAATTGCTCACCACTCCAAGGGGACTTCAATAGAGAACTACATGGCATTTATTTGGTAGAAATATATTCTGGGATCCATGCACAGCTTTGCCCTAGTGCGTTTTTCTGTGAATTTTGCTCAACATCCCTTCATATACATGGATTTCAAATGGCAGATTTCAAGAGGCAGATGACCGAAAGACTGGGACTCTGCATGCGCATGGCAGAACCAGACAAGCGTCTGGCTTAGGACTGGCTCAGCTTCAGCCTCTGCCAGCACATGGAAGATCTCCTTCTCTAATTCTACCTTTCAACTAATAATAATAATCTCCAAAATATTTTTGCATCAAAATCAGCTTATTCTTTTTACATTTTACAAAAAGTTTAAAAAAATGTTTGGAAGGCAGTCCCACAGGGTGAACGAACAAAGAGCTGTCTTCCTCCGCCTTATGCCACCTCCGGTTTTAAGGCGGAGACCGAGTCGTGAGCTCGCAGTCCTCACACTCCACGGCTCGAGGACCTGGCCGCGCCCACAGCGAACCGCCCGCAGCGCTGGGCCCAGGGGTGGCGAACCCGCCCGGGACGCCAGCACCCACCGGGCCGGGAACCCATTGGGGTGCGGCGGGTGACGCGCGGGTCGGCGTCCGCGTGGAAGACTCACTTCCGGCTTCCGCCAGGCCGACACCAGGTTGTCGCCGGCTTCTCTCTCTCTCTCTCTCTCCCTTTCTCTCTCAGATCTCATGACAGGATAACACGTTTCCCGTTTTCACCCTCGGACCTCTCCTTCGGATCACTCACCGCCAGAATCCCTTATCCGGGTGTTGCCCCACTGCCTCCGGCTTCATTTCCCTCGAAAGCGCAGGCGCAAGCGCATTCCAGGGCTTGCTGACCGGAAAGACAACTTCCCCGAGCCCCGCCCGCTCTCTCCGCTGATTGACAGCAAGAACGAACCGGTCAGCGTGCAGCAAACGAGAGTGGGTCCGCCCTACTAGGACGCGCGCGCAACCTGCCTCGCTCCGGGCATGAGGGTCTGCGGGGTTTGGGGCCGCGTTCTTGGCGGCTGGCGGCGGGGAATAGGGCTGCGCACGGAGACCAGGGACGCAGGGTTCGGCTCCGAGGCCCGGTGATTCCCACAGACCCATTTGTGTGTGGGAGGGAGGCTGGCACGGGGTGGCAATGGGCGGGTCCTGGATGGAGGTCCACTCCCGGCCCTGCCGTGGGATCCTGTGTCCTGGCTTTCTGGGTGTGCGAGGACGGGAACGGGAGCCGTCTTGGGAGATAACAGATGGCCGGAGGGCTGAGCCCCTGCCCTTTGCAGGCATCAACCGCACCCTCAAGGCCCCTACTGGGCTTCGGGGCCCCTCGGCGAGCAGCCTTTCCCGGGCCTGCAGTGGTCAGAGGGTCTTAGCCGCGAAGAGCTGGTCGACGTGCTGAGGGAGGCCGTGGTAGACCAGAGAGGTGAGCACGGGAGGCACAGGTGCAGAGCCGGGGTCCAGGCCCCGCCACGCCCACTACATGCAGTAACCAACGTGCTGGGGGCTTTAGGGAACTGCATCTCAGCCAGTGCCTCGTCCACTTCCTGCAGTGTTTACTGGACAGATGCTCCGTGCCAGCTCTGTCCAGGCAGGCTGTGCAGAGCCGAAGGAGGGGGCCAACAGCTTAGTGGGGGAATCGTGCCGTGAGTGAACCCCACCGGGCTGCTGCGATGACCAGCTGCAGGAGGCGCAGTGCTGGCCCGGAGCCCCAGATCTGACAGTCCCGGGCTGAGCAGGCAGCTGTGGCGGTGGGCTTGGCACGTGGGACACGCAGGGTTCAGGTCTGCGGCTGGTCCTGGAGCCTAGCGCTGCATCTGCTCATGGCTGTGGCTGCCCCATTCATGATCGTGTTATCTTGCAGGACCTCTCGTGGCGCTCAACAAGCCGCAGGGCCTGCCAGTGACAGGTATGGCTGAGGGCGTGCAGTGACCAGGGGCCAGTGACAGGTGTGGCCAAGGGCGTGCAGTGACCAGGGGACAATGTGTCCTGGGGCAGTTGTGGGACACAGCTCTGCTTCTTGTTGCTTTCCAGGAAAGCCAGGAGAGCTGACGTTGGTCTCGGTGCTGCCCGAGCTGAGCCAGTGCCTGGCACTGGGGGCGTCTACACTGCAGGTTGTGCAGGCACCCGGGAAGTGAGTGGGCATGACGGGGTGGCAGGAAGATGAGTGTCTGTGCAGGAGGGAGCCAGCTGAGGCTGTCCGGTCCACGTGGTTCTCAGCATCAGATGTGACAGTAGTATCCATGTATGGCTGCTTCTCCTGGCCTGACTGCCGAGCAGGCATGGGGAGTCAATCCCCGATGCCCCTTCTTCTGCCATCCAGGAGAGGTGGTATTTGAGATGACACTTTTCTGAAATTCCACAAGTTCACATGCTTGTTTGTAGAGGATTTAATTATTTAGGACTTAGATCAGGTTCCTGGTGGATTGTCTGATACGTGGTGGACCATTTGGCTCTGAGTTTCCTAGCAGCTGGGGAAACACGGGAACCCACACACCATCATATTAGCAACCCAAGGCAGCCTTGTCCAGGGGCAGGTCTGGATTACAGTCCTGGTGTGGCTGTCCAGTTGGAGGGTCAGCATTCCTTCGTGGGGTCTTGGGTTCGGGGCTAAGCCCAACAACTCGGCTTGATTGGTGCCTTGCCCCCAGGGAGGCCTCTGGGCTTGTCCTCCTCTCCAGCTGTCCCCAGACAGCCGGCTTCCTGTACAAATTCTTCACCCAAGCACGGAGGACCCAGAGACCCACAGCCACCTACTGGTGAGCAAGGCGGAGCTCCAGGGGGCTGAGGGGTGGGCCCAGGGAGCCCTGGAGATCACCTCCCTCCCTTTGCTCAGGGCTGTCACCCACGGGGTCCCAGCCACACGTGAGGGCAAGATCCAGACAGCTCTGAGGCTGCAGGAGATTGATGGGGTCCGTCTGGTGAGCGAGGGTCCTCCTAGTCACCTGACACTTGGCGGGCAGTTGGGATGTGGGGTGCTGGCTCTCCTGTAACCCTTTTCCTGCCTACTGGGAGTGGGGAGAGTCTGGGTGAAGCTTGGGCTTGGCTGGCATCGCAGGTCATTCCAGTCAAGTCCCCAACCCGGAAGGACATCCTAGCAAACGTCAAAAGAACCCTCAGCTACTTCTATGTGGTGGCCACGGGCTCCGGCTGTGCCCTTGTCCAGCTACAGCCTCTGACAGGTGGGTTGAAGCCCCAGCCAGTTGTTAGAACAGACCTGGGCCTGGGGTAGCCAGGGTGGGATGGTGGTGGTAGTTGCTGATGAATACTGAGGGGCCAGAGGGTCAGGCCAGCTGGAGGTAACCAGCAAGTTCTACCCTGGCCTGCTCCCTACCCCAGCCGGAAGTAGCAGCCCCTGTTCCAAGCCCAGCTGGCCTGGCAGCGGCCAGAGCAATGACTTCTACCACCGTGGGCACATCCTCTCCCCACCCAGGTTTCCCCAGGCAGCTGCAGGTACACATGACACTGCAGCTCTGCCCTGTGCTTGGGGACCACATTCACTCAGCCCGCGTGGGCACCGTCCTGGGCCAGCGCTTTCTGCTACCAGCTGAGACCACCAAACCCAGGAGACAGGTAGCCGTACCCACTCCCCTGCACCTCTGGGGCTGGGACTGGAGGGAGGGGCTTTGTGGGTGGCCCTCTGGCCTTCCAAGGCTGCCTGTGCCCGTCTGTCTTGGGGGCCTCCTGCTGCTCGTCTGTTGAGTACAGCTCTGGTTTCTGAGCATGTTGCCGCTAGTCTGGGGTCCCTCTGTCTTCAACTTCTTAAGTCCATAAAGGGAGTAGGTTTTGTGTGTGTGTGTGTGTGAGAGATAGAGGAAGGAAATGCATGAATGAATAATGAGGGGAGGCAGTGGTGGCTGCACTGCCGTTTGTGGGAGCAGAGTACTGTCTGCACTAGAACCAAGTTCAGTTCCTCTCCCCCACCTGCCCAGGTCCTGGACGCAGCTCTCCTCCAACGCCTCCGGCTGACCCCCTCACAGGCCGCCCAGCTGCCCCTGCACTTGCACCTGCACCGTCTCCTCCTCCCGGGCACAGGGCCCAAGGATGCCCCCATCCAGCTTGTGGCCCCCCTGCCCACATACTTCTCCAGGACCCTACAGCGCCTAGGGCTGCGCCATCAAGAGCCCTCCCTGTGTCCCTGATGTCCTACGGCCCCTACAAGTGGGAGGGTTCGGGGCTGTAGCCAGGCTGGAGGATGGGCTCAGGGCACAACACAGAGTCCCCGGGCTCGACTCCTTCAAACCTGAGATGGGCTCCTGGTCACACTGCTGGCTTGCTGTGACCATCTCTTGTGGCTTGAGATAATAAAAGCTCCTACCTTGTGGTCCAGTGTTGAGGACTTGCTGAAAAAGCAGATGTTAATCAGGGACCATGTCGTGTGCCAGGTTGGAAGTTTTCGTTCTGATCCTGCTTAGGAGATCTTAAAAACACATGTGAGATTGTCCATCTCAGCCACTTCTGAGTGAGTCGTCCTATGGCGTTAAGCACACTCACTTCCCTGTGCGACCATCACGTCAACTGTGTCCAGAACCTTCTGTCTCGCCAAACTGGAGCTCTGCGATTTAAGCACACACTCAGTTCCCAGCCCCTATCCATCTTTTACCTGGGCCCATCCTGGCTGTTGTAGATATTTGGGAGTGAACCAGCAGGTAGATCTCTGGGACTCTAACTTTTTTTTTTTTAATTAAAAATACTTTTCATTACAAAAATTTGTTTTAAAGGCAGAGTTACACAGAAAGAGAAACAGGTGTTCCATTTGCTAGTTCACTCTCCAAGTTGGGCGCTTCTTCCAAGTATCCCACAAGGTGGTAGGGGTCCACACACATGGGCCCTCTTCCTCTGCTCTCCCAGGTATATTAGCAGGGAGGTAAATTGGAAGTAGAGTAATTGGACCGGGAACCAGCACCCATATTGGATGCCAGCTGTAGTTTTATCTACTCTGCCACAATGTCAGCTCCAATAAAAACTTACGAGCTGTGAGCTAAGGGGCTCGTTCCATGACTCAACAGGCTAATCCTCCATCTTTAAGTGCCAGCATCCATATGGCTGTTGGCTCATGTCCCAACTGCTCCACCTCCCATCCAGCTCTCTGCTTGTGGCCTAGGAAAGCAATAGAGGATGGCCTCTACTCCTTGGGATCCTACACCCACATGGGATACCAGGAAAAAACTGGCTTCAAAACGGCTCAGCTTCAGCTGTTGCAGCCATTTGGGGAGTGAACCAGCAGGTGGAAAATCTTTGTCTCTTCTCTGTAAATAAATTTTGAGCTATGTCAGATTTACTGAGCTCCTAGAACATTTTTGTGACTTACAGAATAATGGTGAAGTGACAGCCGGACAGTCCCTGCACAAAACTGAAGAGGAGCAACTCTCAGCCATGCCCCACGCTGGCATCTGCTGCCTCAGGAAGCTTTGAGCCCCGGGGCTCTGCACCTCAAGATGCAGGTGTACCTGGATGTGGGAAAGATCCTGGCAGGTTTTTTTTTTAAGTGCCTGATGGGGTTCTGCTATTCACAACCTTGACCTGAAAGAATTCTTTAGGCTTTACATCCATACACATATCTCCATTTTGCACATTGGACGTTTTTGTAAGTGGAATCCTGGGGTGGTGTTTCAGAGGCCTGCTCTTACTCTGCCAAGTGCAGTGCACTTGTGTCATGCAGCGTGGGGGTTGGACTCCAGCTGGGACAGACCTTTGTTCACTCCCTCGGGGGAGCGGGGTGGGCACATGGCTGAAGTGAAGTTACATGGGGTGTTTTCTGGTTTGTTCTGCAAGGATTGCTAGGTTGGGCATATCTGTCTCCAGCTTTACTTGCACATTCATTTTCTGAGGCTGCTGTGACAGTCCCACAACCAGAATGACTTTATAAACAACAAAAACAGCTGGTGCTGTGGGATAGCGGGTTAAGTGATGCGGACAGCCCAGGTGGGCTCCAGCACCCTGCTAGTGCATCTGGGACTTCCGTGGAGGGTTGCCCAAGTGCTTGGGCCCCTGTGCCCCCAAGGGAGACCAGAAGAAGCTCCAGACTCCTGGCATAAACCTGGTCATTGTGGCCAACTGGGGAGTGAACCAGCAGATGGAAAATTTCTTGGTGTATCCCTCTGTATCAAACTCTGCCTTTTCAATAAACCTTAAGAACAAAGAAAAAGGAACGTGTGCTTGCTTTTGGAGGCCAGAAATGCACGGTGCAGGTGGCGACAAGCCCACTGTCATTGTGAGGCTCTGGGGGGGAGGGGGAGAAGAGGGGTTCTCTGGTGGCTTCAAGTGTCCCTCAGCTTGTGGCTGTGTCACACCCGCATCTCCGCAACTCCAGCTGGCTGAAAATACCCCGCCCTGATCTAAGTGAGAGACTGAGAAGCCAGCAGGTACCCAGGGACTGCTCTTGCCCCCTCTGTCAGAGGTCCGTCCTGCACCAGGAGCAAATGCCACAAGCGGGCAGAGCCCAGTGTGTCCAGATGCCTCCCCACAGCCCTGCACACTCGGAGGACCGCCCTCCCTGACCTGCTGTGCAGAGGCAGTTCTCCAACCATCCAGTCCCTCAGAGGTGGGAGAGGGCTTGTCTCTTCCTGACTTCCGTGAGCAGCCCTACCGTGGGTTGAGGGCTGCCCGAACTAAGATCATCTGGGATGACGTCCGGTGCCTCTACCCTAAATTCTACCTGCAGACTTTCTTTACATTCTGGGGCCACCACTCAACTGGGAAATGGCACAGTTTCCCATAGGGGCATGGTCTCAGTTGGAGATACTGCTTTTAGGTGACAGGGGTCAGGCCCAGTCCTCCCCTTGTCTCACTTAGGGCAGTTCTGCTGCCAGCCCGTGCTGTCATCCCCACTAACGCAGCTTTAGGCAAGCCACTGCTCCTTGCAAAGCCACTTTCCTTACTTGTACAGTGAAGGTCTGCCCAGCCCCGTCCTCCGGGGCCTGGGAGACGCAGGGACCTTGCTGGGAGCTGCACTGCTGAGATGGCTCCAGCTCTTCCCCTGAAGAAGTGGGAGGGCACCTCACCCCGCTGCTCCTCACCCTCCGGTGGCCACAAAGCCTGCAACGCTTCACTTGCTCCTTTTTATTTGGCATTGGTCCAGGACAGGGGGAGGGTACAGCAGGGATCAAAGCAGGGGCTTCACCAGCCTCATGTCCCCCATGCCCCTCAACCCCTGGAATCTGTCAGTAAGGGACAGGGGATCTGGGAGGCCCAGCCTCCTTGCAGGGCTCACTTCAGTCTTGGATTTGTTGCCGCGTCTGGCCTTGACCTTCCTAGGGGTGCTAGGAAGAGCTGCGATGTCCAAGGGCAGATACCACAGGGCCCGTCCAGCACGGGGGCTGGGAAGGCGCTGAGAAACAAGAGCCTCCTCAGTGTGGAAGAAGGGAAGAGAGGGAGAGATGATCAGGAATGCAGAGGGCACAGCTAGCCCTTCCCCCGGGCGCTGGGCAGCCCTGACCCCGGAACCCGACACTGTCCGCAAGTCGTAGTTGGAGGCCCACCTTTCTTGGCTTCAGGCCGCCAGGTGTCAGCTTGAGATGAGAGTTGGGTGGGAGGGAAATGAACACCTTGGCCGTAGGTAGAGTCATCAGGGCCTTGCCTGTGGTCGACAGGGCCTTAGAGCCCAGCAGCTTGTGGGGCTGCCGGCTGAGGGCCTGCCCCTGGCCTCCGAGCACACGGGAAGAAGGCAGCCGGGCCTTGGCGTGGAGACTGGGGAGGTGGTACGGGGCTGCGGGAGCAAGGGCGGCTCTGAGGCCTAGGGAGGGCCCAGGGCAGACTAGCTGCCCTGTCAGTCAGGTGTGTGCGGAAGGTGGGGTGGGGTAGAAGGGCACATGGAGCCCTCCCGGGGCCTTCTCCAGGGATGGGGGGGCGGGGAAATGCAGGGTTGAGAGTCCAACAGACCTGGGTCTGCATCCCAGCTCTGCCCCTGCTGAGCTGTGCAACCTCGGGGAACTTGCTTACATTTCCTGATCCCTCAGCTGGAAAACGGGGGTAACAGCTCCTATCTGGTTGGGCTGCTGGGAGGACAAAGGAGGCTGGGTGGTGGCAGTGTGGCAGCTCAGGGCCCCTTCCTCCCGAGGCTACTGCGTGCAAGCAAGGGCATGGCCTGTATCGCCGCCCGGAGTGGACACAGCTAGGAAAAAGGTTCCATGAGTGTCGGCTTTTACTTCTTTCTGGTGGCTCTTTGGCAGGGGAGGGGCTTGGCAAGGGGGACCCTGGGGTGCTTTGGGGGAATGGTCTTACCCAGGGCCTGGGGGTTCTTCGGGCTCAGTGGCAAGCGATCCAGGGGGTGGGGATGCCTGTCTCCACTAGCCCAGGTCATGGTGAGAATGCAGCCCATCCTGGAGCTGGAGGGGTCCCACTTGCGCAGACTGGGGTGAGCCAGGGCCTTGGCACTTCTCGCCTTGCCTTTCTTCCCCTTCCCAGGGACTGAGGTGATAGGGGTGAAGTCCGACTTGTCAGCATGCCTCTGGCTTCTGGCCCTGGTCGCATTCCGAGAAGAGGTGGGGGCCCCCGAGTCCTTGCCTTCCCCAGAGCCTTGCTGGGTCAGCAGGTGTGGGAGTGCTGGGCGGAGCCTGAACCGCCTGGGACACAGTGCCATGGGCTTCTTGATGGTGCAGCCCTCCACCAGCAGCCGGGTACCCATGTACTGGGGCACTTCCACAACAGGCTGTAGGCAAGAAAAGACCAGGCCCACTCAGTCCTCACCGCCAGCAGGACTTGGGCTGAGACACGGGAAGGAGCCCCACAGGCAGTTCCTGCCATGCTGCCCATCCCCCAGCTCTCCAGCCAGATCAGCCCTGGTGCAGGTGTGGACATGGGCTAACCAGATCCTGCACAGACAGAAAAGCGTTGCAAGGATGCCCAGGAGTGAGCAGAGGCCACAGCCTTTAGGGTGGCAGTATGTGGAGAGGACAGGCAGCTGACGTGGGGGGGCAGAGACCAGGCCTGTGGGAGGCGATCCCATACAGTTCTCCAGGCCTGTGAAGGCAGCTGTGCTCGGGGGACTCAGCCTCCTCTGAGCTTGGAACTGTATGAGAGGCTCCTGACTAAACACCCTCTGAGCAACAAAACACCTGTTTGCATGTTCTAGCCGCACCTGCCAGGGAGATCACAACCAACAAGTGGAGACCCGGTTAGAACCTAGCCACTGTGCAACTGTAACTGCAAGAATCAAAACCACCAGGGGAACAGGATGACAGGATAATGTGTCATTTGCATACAGCCTAAATCTCACCTTATGGTATAATTAATCATTGCCACGGGGAGGGTGCAGCTTATCACCACTGTGATATCTGGCAGCTGCTGCCTTAGCCCACGGTCAAGCTCGACACCAGGAACAGGGAGACACTGAAGGTGTATGCCTTGTGGAAAGCATCCTGTCTCACCAAGAGGTCTGACCTAGCATCCAGCTTACAGGACATGCAGACACAAGCTGGAGTCTGGCGCCACCACAGGGAGCCAATCAGACAGATCCAGAATGCAGGGCAGCTGCCTGGCCCTGTCCAGAGACCCACCCAGCGACGGGATACAGATGGCCTAGATTCAGACAAGAAATAAAGCAAGCGGCACAAGGCATGTGCGTTGGTGACACGCTGGCCTGACATGGAAAAGCTGACCAGCACCGAAGGGCCAGCTGAGGGTCGTGTGACACTGGGCGAAGCAGAACAGAGCCCTCAGTCACATACCCAGGGCAGAGCCCCCGGCACAGTGGGTTCCTGGCCTTGGCTCTGTTGTATTTTTCTGCCCTGATATTTCCTCTCACTTCCATTTCATCAAACTGAAATGCCAACAACATTTTTTAAAAATATCGTCAAGGGAGGCTGTTGCTGTAGCACAGTGTGGGAAGCTGAGACACCCACTTCTCTCCTGGCTGTTCCCTCTCTGATCCAGCTCCTTGCTAGCCTGCCTAGGAAAAGCACTGTCAGATGGCCCACATGCTTGGGCACCTGCACCTAGGTGGGACAGGCTCTGGCTTTGGCCTGGCCCAGCCCCAGCTGTTGCAGCCATCTGGGGAGTGAACCAGACGACAGCTCTGATTCTTGCTCTTTCTGTGTCTCTCACTTTGAAAGAAATACAATCTTAAAAAATGTAAAATAAGGTATCATGAGTAACCGTCACAAAGAGGAGGCCCCACTCTGTGCCCAGACCTCGACAGAATCAAATGTGAATGCAAACACACTGTGCAAAGCTGCCTTGGGGGAATACCGCATGGGCTCGGATTTCAATCTCCTTTCAGAACAAGAGCAATGCTTCATATCATGGTCATCATCACCATCACTGTAGCTGCTATTAAACACCCTCACTGCACATCCAGGCACTTAACAATTAGAAACCCTCCCGAGCTTATGAGGCAGCAAAGACAGCAGCAGAGCCCTGGGGGGCAGGGACCTTCACTCAGCCCCGCGGGGCTTTATAAACAGCAGACCCACAATCCCTGTGTCCTCGTCTGGGCTCACTGCGTAGGGACAGACCCTGCTCCAAATGCTGTGCTGTGCATGTCTCTGGGAATACCAGTGAGGGGGAAAACAACATGCAAGGTCAGGGCCACCAGTGAGCCCAGTGCCGACGCACCTACATTCTGTGACAAACTGCCTGGGCTCAGAGCCTGGCTCGGGGTCTTGCCCCAGCTGTCTATCGGCACACAGAGGGGGCACGAGGCAATGGCCGAGGGACATCGGTTTCTGCCACTAACATGGGAGACCTAGACTGAGGTCCGGGCATCCACCTGGCTGCAGCCCAGCCCGCAGCTCCTGCCGTCATTTGGAGAGTAAACCAGCACAAGGGTACCCTCTCTGTCTGTCTTGTCTCTGTTTCTCAAAAAAACAAAAACAAAAACAAAACCCAACTCATGTTGGTTTTAGTATAAAACACTTTGAAATCTGAAAAACATGTTTTCCATGATCTGACGCCCCCTAATGTTACCCAAGCGTTAATGCATTTCCTTCTCCCAGACCCCACAGTAAAGGTGGTACTAACCTACTATATAGACACTGATGCCCAAGGTCAAGGGGCAGGACTAGGGCTAGGGCCTGGGTTTTGAACTTGGTCTGGAGAAAGAGGCAATCTCGCAGGGGCCCTACTTGGACCCAACCAGCTCACCTGTTTATAGATGAGCTCGAAGGCTCCTGTGTCGCAGGTGCGGTCCAGCCGCCGGTCGATGACCACACGTAAGGTGTCAGCTTGCACGCTGGCACAGAGCCGGGAGGTGACGGGCGTGGAGGGTGCCATGGAGGGGCTGGCATTGATCTCGATCAGCCAGGGGCGGAAGTCCTCACCGAACACAAAGTCGGCCCCATAGAGCTCAAAGCTGGCCTTGCGACATTGCACTGTATCCTGTGAGGTCTGCAAGGCATGGATCACGGCAGCCTTCATGCCAGGCACAATGATGGTGGCCCAGGCATGCGGGGCCCCCATCTCCTTCAGGTGGACCTGGAACTTCTGGCTGCACCACATGTTGTCCGCTGGCAGCAGGGGATGCCGGTGACATGAGTTCTGCAGGTGTTTCTGGATGGAGTTGTTGCACAGGTGCACCGCACTAGGGCAGAGGGCAGGATCCCATTGAGGGAACAGACAGGACACAGTTGGACCTGCCACATACCTTTGGGGTTAGGAGGCATCTTAGCTCTGAATGGACAATGCCCGGGTGACATACTGAATGCTCTGGGCTAGGAGGGCAGGAAGTGGCAGAGGGAGGACCATGAGAGCAGAGGCACTCAAGGTCCATCATTGCCACTGACCAGGGGTCTCAGGCAAGTCCTTAAGCTGGCAGGTTATAAAGAACAGCTGAAAGGATGGACGCACGGAGCCTCCACATCCATGGACACGAAGCCCCATCACATGTGAGTGCCCACCACTGGGTTACACGCTAATGCTTTCATCATCCACACGTGGACATTAGGTTCATAGGAGTTTCTATTGGGCAAAAGCCACCCAGCCTGGAGGCTGCCAACAGGGAACCTGACTCCGGTCCATGCACATGAGATGCTGCGTCTCACCTTGCCTACCTCCGGTGTCCCCTGGCCTCCCTTCACCCTGCCTGACATCTGCTCTTTTGGAACCAGTGTCCCTATAAGCTATTAGGTTGCAGTATTCCTCCACACACTGCTCATCTGCCTCTCCCCCCCCCAGGCTGTGAGCTCCCCAGTGTCCAGAAAATGTGTGGGGTGCACACCCAGCCAGTGTCTGTCAGCTGTGGGTCTGGGTGACTCTGCTGTGCCCTCCTTGCTTCTTGGCCTGCCAGTCCCCACCGCTCCCCAGACGGGGAGCCCCTAGGAGCTGGGCAGCAGGACTCACTTGTCCAGGTTCTTCAGGGAGAAGGGCTGTGTGGAGAAGCGGATGTAGCTGTGGCGGTAGAACCACACGGTCAAGGGGTTCCAGTCAGTGACCAGGAACCACTGCCTCAGGTCGAACTTGGTGCCAAAGATGAGCAGGGGCCGCTCGATGTACTTCTGCACCACCCACTTGCCATCCTTCATCATCAGCGGGTTGCAGTCTACCAACTTGAGCATCTCCTCCAGGTGGTCCATGCACGTAATGCCTAAGGGCGAAGGGGTACCCAGAAAGTGGGCTGGGGACAGGGCACAGAACACCCCAAGTTCTCATCCCCACAGGACCAGGACCAGGTGACCTTGCACCTCAACCTGTTCCCTCCAGCAAAGCAGAGTTTGTAAGAATAAAAGTTTTTAAACATTTCCTGGCCTGGCATGATAGCCCAGTGGCTAAAGTTCTTACCTTGCATGGGATCTCATGTGGGCCAGTTCTAATCCTGGCAGCTCCACTTCCCATCCAGCTCCCTGCTTGTGGCCTGGGAAAGCAGTCAAGGACGGCCCAAAGCCTTGGGACCCTGCACCCATGTGGGAGACCTGGAAGAGTTCCTGGCTTCGGGCTTTGGATTGGCTCAGCTCTGGCAGTTGTGGCTGCTTGGGGAGTGAATCATTGGACGGAAGATCTTCCTGTCTCTCCTCCACTCTGTATATCTGACTTTGCAATAACAAATAAATAAATTTTTAAAAAAAGTTTCCAGTTTGGGGCCTGGCACAATAGCCTAGTGGCTAAATCCTTGTCTGGGATCCTATATGGGTACAGGTTCTAGTCCTGGCTGCTCCACTCCCCATCGAACTTTCTGCCTGTGGCCTGGGAAAACCCAAAGAAGAAGATGGCCCAAAGCCTTGAGATCCTGCATCTATGTGAGAGACCCAGAGGGAAGTTCCTGGCTCCTGGCTTCGGATCGGCACAGTACTGGCCATTTGCAGTCACTTGGGGAGTGAACCATTGAATGCAAGATCTTCCTCTTGGTCTCTCCTCCTCTCTGTATGTCGACCTTTCCAATAAAAATGAATAAATCTCTCTTAAAAAAAAAAAGAGCCCGGCAGTGTGGCCTAGCAGCTAAAGTCCTCACCTTGAACGCGCCGGGATCCCATATGGGCAGCGGTTCTAATCCTGGTGGCCCCACTTCCCATCCAGCTCCCTGCCTGTGGCCTGGGAAAGCAGTCGAGGACGGCCCAAAGCTTTGGGACCCTGCACCTGTGTGGAGACCTAGAAGAAGTTCCTGGCTCCTGGCTTCAGTTCAGCATAGCACCAGCCGTTGCGCTCACTTGGGGAGTGAATCATCAGATGGAAGATCTTCCTCTCTCTCTCTCCTCCTCCTCTCTGTATATCTGACTTCCCAAGAATGCACAGAAAGACGTATGCCAGTTAGCAATCATTGCCTCGTGAAATCAAGGGTGGCTTTTATAGCTTCTTCATAGTTTCCTGCATTGCTTGTTTTTGTTTTTTTTTAAAGATTTATTTATTTTTATTGGGAAGTCAGTTTTATGGAGCGAAGGATACACACAGAATGATCTTCTGTCCACTGACTCTCTCTCCAAGTGGCCGCAACGGCCAGAGCTGAGCTGATCTGAAGCTAGGAGCTAAGAGGTTCTTTCAGGTCTCCCATGCAAGTGCAGGACCACAAGGCTTTGGGCCATCCTCTGTTTCTTTCCCAGGATACAGCAGGGAGCTGGATGGGAGGTGGGCCACAGGGACTAGAACCAGTGCCCATACGGGATCCCAGCACATGCAAGGTGAGTATTTTGCCACTAGGCCACCATGCTGGGCCCATTACTTGTTTTTTGATTTAGTAACAACCACATTATGTTCGTGATCTGGTGCCAAGAGTGTTTCTATGTCCCAGGTGTCCCGGCTCAAGTACCAGCCTGCCGGATGGCTCTCCTGTTCAAATGACAATAAGGCTGGCTGGGGCTTGCACCCAGGGGAAGTTTGCCTTCAAAGAGCACACTCCACCAAACTCCCTGGGCCTCTAGTGGAGGACAGACATGACAGAAGGGCGGGTCTGGGGAGCAAGGGCGGACCCCCACCTCGTCCACGGGACTTGGCTCCTGGCTTCACAATCCACACGTTGCGGTCTCCCTCCATGTCCATCTGGGGCACCACGGCCCGCAGCCGCTGCAGGATGTCCTCACAGCGTGGCACCTGTGTCTCCAGGTGCCTGAGCTCTGCTCCCTCACTGCGGAAAGACAACGGAACTTGGGCAGGGCTAGGCCTGGGGGGAGGAGGGTGACAGGTCTCTTCCATATCCTCTCCCACCCTTGAGCCACTCCCCTGCAGCCCAACACCGCACCTCTGCCACCTCCCTTCCTGTCCGTTGGAACTGCTCCTGCAGACTGTAGTCATTCAAGCTCCAAAGATAACTGTGTGACAGGCACTGTGCCCAGAGTTTTCCACACGAGGGGTCCTCCATAAGTTCATGGAAGACATGCACCCAGAAAAATTAACACACAAGCATTTCCAAACTTGGTTTTCACAGCAAAGTAAATACCTTTTATTCCCTTTTTTCATGAACTCTTTGAACTTGCCTGGCATTCTCACTAACTCAACAGCTGCTCCCTTTTGGAGAAGAGCAAGCTGAAGCCTGGGGAGTTGGGAGACTTGCCCACAGCCCATGTTCAGCTGAAGCTGGGCCAGGACTGGAACCACCTGACCTCTCCCAGCAGCTGCCCACACTCTCCCTGCCCGCGGAGTCCACTCGCTTCAGATCCTTTTTTCCTCCTTCCCTCCCTCCCTTCCTTCCTTCCATCTTTCCTTCCTTCTCCCCTCCCTCCCTCCTCTTTTTAAGATTCACATATTTATTTGAAAGGCAGAGTTAGAGACACAGAGAGAAAAAGAACATGAGTGAGCAAGACTTGAGCGAGATTTCATCTGCTAGATAATTCCCCAAATGGGCATAACTGCCAGGGCTGAGCCAGGCTGAAGCCAGGAGCCGGGACCTTCACCCAGGTCTCCCATGTAGGGTGCCATGGTGCCATGAGTACAAGCAATCAGGCCTTTTTTTTTTTTTAACTACTTTTCAGGTGTATTAGTAGGGGACTGGACTGAAAGCTGAGCAGTGGGGACTCAAACCGGCATTCACATGGGATACCAGCACTGCAGCTTAACCTATGATGCCACAATGTCAGTCCCCTCTCTCCTATCAGGAGAAGACAATAGCCATTGGAGCAGTACCAGAAACAGGAACAAAAAGACAGCAGGGGCTTGGCAGTGTTCATGCCAAAGTCCCAACACTGTCCCCCACAGTCCCGGGTACAAAGTGCCTTCTCACAGGAAGTGTGATGGAGCAACTCAGAAAAATCTCAACACAACAGTGTGTTGGTTTTTTCTTTACAGGGTGGCAGGGTGAGAGGAGGGATAGAGGGAGATCGAGCTTCCAGCTACTAGTTCGCTTTCCATATGGCAACCATGGCTGGGGCTAGGAATTTGGAACACTCCATGCTGAGTTAAAGAGACCCAAGCACCTGGGCCATCCTCCACTGCTTTACAGGTGTCATTACTGGGAAGCTGGATTAGAAGTGGAGCAGTCAGGACTCAAACTGGCACTCACGTGGGATGCCAGCCATTGTAAGTAGCTGCTTAACACACTGTACCACATCATCAACCCCAACAGCATGGTTTTTGATTTGTTAAAAAGGTAATAAAACCTATCAGGGTTTCATAGAGTCACCTTGTTAAAAGACTTGCTGGTGAGACAGATCATTTAAGGAAATCATAAGGTTGGTGTGCTAACTTAACAGGCCAATCCCCTTGCTACATTTCTAACACCCCATATGAGCACCAGTTCTAGTCCTGGCTGCTCCAATTCTGGTCTAGTTCCCAGATTATGGATTGGAAAAGCAATGGAGGATGGTTCAAGGATGGTTCTTGGGACTCTATACCCACATGGGAGACAAGGTAGAAGCTCCTGGCTTCAGATTGACTCAGCTGTCTGGCCACGTAGGGAGTGAACCAGGGGATGGAAGAACTTTTTTTTCCCTCTCTGTTTGATTGAATGTATAAATGCGATAAATGGTTATGGGCCCACAGGATGCTCTATCGGTTGTGGTCGGCAGTGTTTTAGCAGTAGCCTCAATTTGGAGGAGTTCATATGGCCCTGTGGGGGTTGCCCTGGCACTGCACACACAGAGGCCTCGTGTGCAATGCTGTGTGCCCTGCTGCAGCTGAGCTCACCTCTGTGTCAGTGGCTTGGCCTTGGCTGCTAGGTAGCTCTGGGTTGCCTGTTGGCCACGACTTATTTGCTTATGAAGTGGTGATTCACTGCTCAGTAGCTGAGCAGTGAGTTGCCCTGCCACCCACTCCTGCCTGTCACCACTGCCCTAGCTGCAGGGTCCTGAGAGCCCATGGCCCAGCAGGTATCAGGAAGTCGAGGCTTGCCTGAGTGTGCTCTGCCTGCAGCGCCCTCCTCCCTGCAGTCCCCCTCCAAGTCCTGTGCCAAATGATACATCCTTAAAAACTGGGTCACTGTTAGGAATGGTGGTGCAAAGCAAGGGGATAAACTGTTGCCTGCAGCAACAGCATCCCAAATGGATACCAGTTTGAGTTCCGGTTGCTCCACCTTTGTTCCGGCTCCCTGCTGATGTACCTGGGAAGGCATCACAAGCTGGACAGAGTGCCTGGGCCCTGGCCCCCATGTGGGACATCTGGAAGAATTCTCCTGGCTTCAGCCTGGCCTAGTTCTGACGACTGCAGCCCTTTGGTGATGATCCTGTGGATGGAAGATCTCTCTCTCTATCCTTCCCTCCCTCTCTGTAACTTTCCCTTTTCAAATTAGTCGATCTTAATCGCGTCTCAGACATTTTCTGCCCCGCTCCAGACCCCCTCTGAGTGAGCTTCTCACACAGGTGTGCAGGTCAGGTCCCGGGTCACACAGCTGAGTGGAACAATCACTCAAAGCTCCGAGCTTCCTGCTACTGTGCACCCTAGGAGGCAACTAGTGACAGCTTAAGTTACCGGGTTCCTGCTCCCCACAGGAGACCTGGTTTGAATTCCTGGCTCCTAGCAATGAACATGCACAGTAGCCTCAGCCACTGTGGGCATTCAATGAGAGAACCAGCAGGAGGTAGCTTGTCACTCTGCCTTTCAGAAAAAAAAAAAGTTTTGGAAAACTGCAGCAATCACAAGTCTATTTTGGCACAAGCAAGTTGTGCAGGACCAGTGCCATGGTGAAGCCTGTGATGTTCATACATCACACTTCAGGGTGCTGGTGTGAGGCCACACTTTCTGCCAGTGCATCTGGGAAAGCAGCAGACACCCAAGTACTGGAACTGCCAAGATCCAGATAGGGTCTCTGTCTGCAACCTAGCCTGGCCCCCTCCATTGCAATCATTTGTGAACAAACCAGCAGATGGACGAGCTCCATCTCAGGACTGGCATTGTAGTGTAGCACGTTAAATCTCTCCTGCAACACCAGAATCCCACATGGGTGCTGGTTCAACTCCTGGGTGCTCCACTTCCCATCCAGCTCCCTGCTTGTGGCCTGGGAAAGCAGTCAAGGACGGCCCAAAGCCTTGGGACCCTGTACCCGTGTGGGAGACCTGGAGGAAGTTCCTGGTCCCTGGTTTTGGATTGGCGCAGCACCAGCCATTGCGGCCACATGGGGAGTGAATCATCAGATGGAAGATCTTCCTCTCTTTCTCTCCTCCTCTCTATATATCTGACTTTACAATAAAAATAAATAAATCTTAAAAAAAAAAAAAAAAGCTGTGTCAGGACCAGCATGGTGGCCCAGCAAACTAATCCTCCACTCCTTGACACTCACATCCCATATGGGTGCCAGTTTGAATCCTGGGTGCTCTACTTCCTAACCAATTCTCTCCTTATACCCTGGGAAAGCAACAGAGGATGGGCCAAGTCCTTGGGACTGCACCCAAGTGAGAGACCAGAAAGAAGTTCCTGGTTCCTGATCAGCTCTGCTCTGCCATTGCAGACATTTGGGGAGTGAAACAAGTGGAGGAAAATCTGTCTCTTTTCTTTCTGCAAATCAGCCTTTCAAATGAAAGTAGGTCTTAAAAACAAAACAGAACCGAACAAGAACACACAGTGGCATCTGAGAAAAGCAGAGCTCATGTTCCTGAAGTCTCAGAGTTTGAAAATTGCCAAGCCAGGACTTGGGACTGTGTGGTGGCACAGGCCATGATGACTGGGTGTAACTACACTACATGACAGTGCAGAAGAGGGGCTCGCACCTGGAAGGTGTCAGGAGCAGGTGGGTGCCCCCACCCCTACCCCCAGCAGCAGGTACTCACTGGACCACTTGGTAGTAGCGCTGCAGGAAGAGGGCCCAGCCATCGGGACCCAAGTACAGGGGGACCCCCACATCCCTGTCGATGTCCAGGTGTGCCAGGGTGCTAAGGTGCTCCTCACACACACTCAGAGCCTTGTCTACAAACTCTGGGGTCACAGTTGCTATCTTCTTCTCTGTCTTCTTGAGCTGTTTTTCTCCTGCAGGGAGAGGGAGTCGCCTGTCACTGTTGCATTCACGCAGGTAAGCTGACATGTGCCACCCTCCAGCGTCCCATGGCCTGTCTCCAACAAGGCACAGTGCAGACCTAGACTTCCCAGTGTTCCGTGAATGCCACTCCCTGAAGCTTTGCTCTCAACTCACCTGAGATCTCAGCTCTTAATTTTGGGTTTCCCTGTTCCAGGGACTGTTGCATGTGTGAGGATCTGTGCTAACTGCCCCCATGGCCTTGATGGCATGTCCCCAGCATGCACCTCTGGCCACTCTACTGCTGGGACCCCTAACACACTGAACTATGTCTGAGATGCACTTGGGAAGCCTGGCTGAGGTGAGCTCCCACATATGTGATTTCCTGGGTCCTCCTGTGCAAGGATTCTGGGCCCACTGCCAGAACTCTGGAGTGTTCTTTGGAGTACAGGATGAAGAGACAGAGCAAATGGTGCAGGGCCACCAGTCAGGGGGTCCTTAGGAGCCCCTCTCATTCCAGCAGGCTGCTTCCTACGCACAGCACAGGGGTCCTCGAGCCACCCTCCACCACCCTGCCTCCTCCTCCTCAGTTATGCAGGCTCCCACAGTCTCCTTCCTGGCCTCACCTCTGGGAGGGCCAGCAGAGGCACAGAAGTCAGGTGTGGGATGGCTGGGATGGAGGAAGGCCTGTGAAGGCAGTGGGTAAAAGGGCAGGAGACCCAGCAAATGGGGAGAGAAGCTGGGGAGTGGGCAGGTGGAAGAGGAACCTAAAGGCAACCGCAGGTGGGTGAGGAGACCAACGCGGAGTGACCAGCACAGCACATGGGCTAGTCAGTGCGTGGTTGGGTGGTGGATGAGTAGATGGAGGAGCAGTGGATGGACATGGTGGTAGGCAGGCATGCTGATGGCCAGATGGACATGGATGGACATGGATGGATGGGAGGACACGTGGCCGGGGAGGGGAGCTCACCACAGCACCCACCTGGGGCCTCTTCCTCCTTGGCCTGGTGTGAATGCGACTTCCTTTCGGACTTCACCACCAGCTTGAGCACGCTGCGGGCGGCCGTCAACCAGAAGTCCTCTGCTCCCGGGGCAAGGAACACCCTGCTCAGCCCCAGGCTTGCAGCCTGCTCTGGTTCCGGAACCTCGTCATCACCTGCCCCACAGTGGATCTGGAACCTGACCCCACATCTTCTGATGCTGGACTCTGCCTTGGAGCCTGATTCCCACTGACTCAGCCGGACAAGCAGCCTGAGACCTGGCCTGTCCGGCTCGGGTCTGCCTTTGGGATCTGTGTTCTTCCATGCCTGCTTAGCTTTCCACACTTGCTCCTCACTGAGGCCCAGGGCCAGTTTCAGACTGGGAATGTAATTTAAACCCAACATCTAATCTGAATCTACATTCTGATCCAACCCGAAGGCCAGCTGCAGCTAGACCCTGCTCTTCCTTGGAAAGTCAAAGCTCATAACTCGTTTAGACCCTGATTCTGCCAACAGAACTTGTAATGGGCCTGGAATCTACTCTGGACTCCAGACTCTGCCAGTGCAATGATGCAATGACTTCAGTTAGCACCTGCTCCAGGCAGGAATGAACCCACTGAGGCTCATCAGGAAGAGACGGTGTGTTGAGCTAGGAAGCTCATTGAGGGCAGGCACATTAGGGAGACTGGGACAAGGGCAGAGAAAAAAGTGTGCCCAGCAGACACAGGTGGGTGGAGAGGCCAGGAACAAAGCTTTGCACTGGGAGTCTGGGGCTGTAGCCTGGAAACAGGTGTCTCCTTACCTATGAAGGCCTTCTTGTCATCCTCGGCCCCCAGGCGATAGCAGCGTGGGAAGAAGGAGTCGGCGTCAGCTTCATCAAACCAGGGCAGGTTACGGAGATTGAGACACAGGCCTACCTGCAGAGTCGGCAGCTGAGGGGTGGGCTGGGGACCGGCCCAGGGGGCTCCGGGACGGAGCATGTGCGTGGTGGCCTCAGCAGGGCACGCTCGCAGCCCTCACCCTGCCTGCCGGGCCTGCGTGATGTGCTCCTGCCTTTCCCCCATCCCCGCCAGTCCAGGAATCCTCCTCGTGTACCCCAACAATCGGATGGCAGACGCCTCCTACTCCAAGCTCTCCCGCTCCATGCCCTTGGGCTTGGAGTCTGTTCTGGCTCCAGACCCACTGGAAACCACTCTCATCATGCTGTCCACACCCGCAAAAGACATCTGTGCAGAGGCCTGCCGCTTCACACCCCAGGGCGCATCTCGCCCTCTCCTGAGAACTTTCCTCTTGTCACGGGGCAAGGGGCCCTGGGCTGCCCTCCGCGGGAGCCCACCTTTGTGGTGAAGGCACCAGCCCGGGCGTAGTGGTTTATTATCTGGTCCTTGCAGAGGAAACGGCAGTCCAGCACATCCCGCCGAGTGGTCCAGATGAAGTAGGGGGTCTCATTACGAACCATGCGGGACTGAGAAGAGAGGGAGACAGGGAAGCTGGTGAGGGCAGCATGGCCTGCGGCAGTCCATCCCATTGACCAGCATGGAGGGCTGGGGGTGGGGCAGGCACAATGTGCCTCTTGCCTTGCCCACAAGCTCCTTGTGTGAAGTAAGAAAACACCTCTTTCTCAGAGGCATACCCCGGATGAGCAAGAAAGAGGCCAGTGGGTGGCCCCCCTGAGACTGGGCGATAAGCACCAACCAAGCTCAGTAACTCAATACTATGCAGTGTTCGGGCCCCTGGCTTTCTGCGATGTGCCCAATTGCAGGACAGTGAAGTCAAGGTTGATGGGTACACAGCATGTCACAGATGCTCCTCTCTGCACCCACGTCTCTCCCTGTTCCCTCAACTCTGACGGTTAAGAGAAGGACTGTGCAACAGTGCTGTGTCCTAAGCCACGTCCACGTCACCTCAGTCAGTCCTCGCCACTACCTCAGCAGGTGGGGGCCCTGACGATCCTCCCATCACAGACAGGGAACTGAGGACCAGGGAGAGTGACAGGCCCGCCTGAGGACTTGAGGCTGAGCTGCTGGATCAAGTCCTTGGGGCTCAACCCTTCCTGACACTGAGAAGGGGCAAGCACATTTAGCTATTCTTTCCAAGCTGTGGTACCTAACCTGGTTATGAACCCCTGGCCTCAGCCAACGCGCATGCCATACCAGCCGCACTCACAAATCCTAAGGTCCCCTGCTGAGATAATATGGAATTTTTGGGTTTTCTAAATCATCTCAGAGGCAAAGCAGAAAGAGACATATGGACAGGCAGATGGACAGATGGAACTGCCATTAGCTAGTTTACTCCCAGATGCCTGGAAGCCAGGAACTCAATCCAGGCCTTCTCCGCCGACGGTGAGAACTCAACTATCTGAACCAGCTCTCGCTGCTTCCCAGGCTGTGGTGAGCATCGGGAACTGTGATGGAGCCAGGCCTTGAGTTAAGCCAGATACACCGATACGGGACAAGGGTGTGCCTGCAACTGGCTTCATTACTGGGTCAGACGTCCATCCCAAACCATGGGGCTTTTATCCGGAAGGAGGCTATGCCAGCTGCTGCCTCCCTGAGCAGAGTTCTGAACTCCAAGCCATTCCTTTCCCAGCTCCGCTAAGCCCCTCTCCACTCTGTGGGCCCACCCTGCCCTCACACAAGGCATCGCTTCTCCTTACCACTGGAACTGAGACCCAGAGGGGGTAAGATAGCCCTGACACCAGCCAGCTATACCCCAGGGCTCACACTCCCTACTACAGCCCCCACTGTCCCCTGCTTCTCCCAGCCCCCAATTTCCAGCCTCACCATTAAGGCATGTGTCCCTTCCACATCGCCGCATTCCAGAAACCCTTCAAAGTTGAATGGCTGTGGTGGTTGAAACTCCTCCTGGTCGTCTTCATCTTCTGTGGGCACAGAGCCTGATGAAGCCCTTGGCCCCTGCCCTTGACCCCATCAAGCCTCATCCTCAGGATAGGGGGACCCCTCACCATTCTCAGGGGTGTCGCTGTCACCCGCGGCCGAGTTGTCCAGCTCCTTCTGGGGCGGTAGCAGAGCTGGGGCGCCCATATGATGGATCATCTTCTTCTCCACCCAGCCCCTCTGGCGCAGGAGGCAGCGGATCACCGGGTAGTGGCCCTGGATCATGAAGATCTTCTTCTGCTGTAAGGGGAGCGATGATGACCGGTTTGAGAAGCACGGGCTATGTGGCTGTTGCCAGCGGGCAGCTGGGTGCCGACGTCCCAGCCCTCAGGGCAGTGCCACATTCCAGCAGGAGGCACTGCTTATTAATGAGGAGAGGCAGCTCAGAAACACACCTGAAAATGGTGCAACTACTGCGTGAGAAGCACTGAGCGTCCCTAGCAAGCACGCATATATGTTTCTGTGAGCCATCCTACTGCAATGGTTATGAAACTAAGGCACTGAGACACTGAAGCTCTTGCCCATGCCACACAACAGACAAATAAAATAGCAGCAATTTATATTCAGGCAGTCTGGCTCCAAAAGTCACAGATTAACAGGGATCCAGAGAAACCTAAAAATATGAGGGGTCTGGGGTACAGTGTTGTGGCACAGCAAGTAAGGCCACTGCTTACAACACTGGCTTTCTATACAAGCTCCAGTTCAAATTCCAGCTGCTCCACTTCTGATCTAACTCCCTGATAGTGAGTCTGAGAAGGCAGCAGGAGATGTCACTCATGTGGGAAACACGGGTGAAACTCCTGGGTCATGGCTTTAGTCCTGACCAGCCCCAGCCACTGTGGCCATTTGGGGCAAATGGAAAAAAAATCTGCTTCTCAAGAGAATAAAATAAATCTTTTGTTGGAAAGGTCAATTTACAGAGAGGAGGAGAGACAGAAAGAAAGAGCTTCATCCGCTGGTTCACTCTCCAAGTGGCCACAATGGCTGGAACTCAGCTGATCTGAAGCTAGGAGCCAGGAGCTTCTTCCAGGTCTCCCACGCAGGTGCAGGGTCTCAAGGCCTTGGGCCATTCTCTATTGCTTTCCCAGGCCACAAGCAGGGAGCTGGAAGGGAAGTGGAGCAGCTGGGACACAAACCTGCAATCCATATGGGATCCCGGTGCATGCAAGACAAGGACTTCAGCCACTAGGCTAGTGCGCTGGGCCCATAAAACAAACAACAACAACAACAACAACAAAGAACAAAACATTATTTTGGTGCAAATTTTCTGAAATCCATGCCATGTTTCTTTTATTTGTTTTAATTGGAAAAGCAGATTTACAGAGAGACACAAAAAGATTTTTCATTGGCCCAGGTGGCTGCAACAGCCAGAGCTGAGCTGAACCAAAACCAAGAACCAGGAGCTTCTGGTCCTCCACTGCAGTGCAGGGTCCCAAGGGTCCCAAGGGTCCCAAGGGTCCCAAGGCCCTGGGCCGTCCTCACAGGCCACAAGCAGGGAGCTGGATGGGAAGTAGAGCAGTTGGGACACCAAGTGGCACCCATACGGGTCCTGGTGCATGCAAGGCGAGAATTTAGCCCTGGACCATCGTGCTGGGCTCCATGATACACATCTTCCCTGAGCTTATGAAAGGCTCCTTTGTACACAGCCAGGGAAGCGACTGGGAGCCAGGTGGATGAAAAAAACACACACAAAGGCCTTAAGGCTAGAAAGAGGTCAGCGGAATAGAAAGGACCCTGGAGCCAGTGGAACCTGGAAAGCGGGAGAACTGGGGCTGGCATTGTGGCACAGTGGGCCAAGCTAATGCCTGTAATGCTGAAGTCCCATATGGGAGCCAGTTTGAGTTCTGGATGCCCCACTTGCCACCTAACTCCCTGAAATGCACTTGGGAAAGCATCAGTGAATGGCTCAGGTGCTTGGCCCTCTGCACCCACGTGGGAGATGTGGAAGAAGCTTCTGCCTCAGCCTGGCCCAAGCCCGGTTGTTACAATCACCTGGGAAGTGAACCATCAGATGGAAGCTTCATCTCTCTCTGTAACTCCACCTGTCAAAGAAATAAACCTGAAAATGTGGGAGTGCTGCAGAGGCCGCAGCCAGGCTGCAGGGGGCTCTGCTGGCCTGGGGATGCACTTGCACTTCACGCTGAAAGGGGCATGAGAATCAGGCTAAACTAAGAGGGAGCGCAAGCTGTGTGCGTTTACATCACTGCTGTGTACAAGACAGAAAGTTCTAGAACCAGGTTGCCAGTCAGATCTACAGTTAGAAGGCTGCTGTGGGACGCCCCTAGGCTAACCCTCCACCTGCAAGCACCAGCATCTCGTATGGGTGCCAGTTAGTGTCCTGGATGCTCCGCTTCCCATCCAGCTCCTTGCTTATGCCCTGGGAAAGCAGTGGAGGATGGTGCAAGTCCTTAGTCACCTGCAGCCATGTGGAAGACTCAGAAGAGATCCCTGGTTCCTGGCTTCAGCTCAGCTCAGCTCTGGCCATTATGGGCATTTGGGGAGTGAACCTGCAGATGGGAGATCTTTCTTAGTCTCTCCTTCTTTCTGTAAATCTGCCTTTCCAATCAAAATAAATAAATTAAAACAAAAAAGATGGGCCCGTCACGATGACTCAAAGGCTAAAACATCACCCTTTAAGTGCCAGGATTCCAAATGGATGCTGGATCATGTCCTGGCTACACTTCCCATTCGGCCCCTGCTGCGCTTGGGAAAGCGGAGGCAGATGGTCCCAGGGCATGGGCCCCCGACAGCCCTGTGGCACAGCAGAATGGACTTCCTGGCTTCGGACTGTTCCAGACCTAGCTGTTGTGACCAACTGGTAGGGGGTGTGAAGAGCAGACCTCTCCCTTTCTCCCCTTCTGTCACTTTTTGTATTTTTTTTAAAGATTTATTTATTATTTTTTATTGCAAAGTCAGATATAAAGAGAGGAGGAAAAGACAGAGAGGAAGATCTTCCTCCATTGATTCACTCCCCAAGTGGCTGCTACAGCTGGAGCTGAGTTGATCCAAAGCCAGAAATGAGGAGCCTCCTCTGGGTCTACCACGAGGGTACAGGGTCCCAAGGCTTTGAGCTGTCCTTGACTGCTTTCCCAGGCCACAAGCAGGGAGATGGAAGGGAAGTGGAGAAGCCAGGAAAAGACTGGCACCCATATGAGATCCCAGCGTGTGCAAGGAGAAGACTTTAGCCACTAGGCTACTGCATTAGACCCCCATTTAAAAAGATTTATTTATTTTTATTGGAAAGGCAAATACACAGAGGAGAGCAGAGACAGAGAGGAAGATCATCCATCTGCTGGTTCACTCCCAAAGTGGCTGAAACTGCTGGTGCTGTGCCAATCCGGAGCCAGGAGCCTCCTCTGGGTCTACCACAAGGGTATAGGATCCCAAGACTTTGGGCCATCGTCTTCTGTATTCCTAGACCACAAGCAGGAAACTGGAAGGGAAGTGGGGCTGTCTGGACACTAACCAGCACCCATATGGGATCCCAGCGCATGCAAGGCAAGAACTTTAACCGCTAGGCTACTGCGCTGGGCCTCAGTTTGACTTTCAAATCAATAAGCCTTTACAAAATGGAACCGGGTCATGACAGTGATTGGCAAAGGCGTGAGGGTTGAGATTTGTTTGGGTGAACAAGAGAAGATTTCTGTCTTTAGCAGCTGAGAGATGGGGTAGACCAGAGACTGCGGAGAACTGTGGGAAGCACAGTCGCAGGAAAATGAGGGGCAGGAGTCCGAAACGGGAGAGGAGGACTGGATCTGGGCCCACCGGGTGTGGCTTTACAGGCTGAAGAGGACACAGAGAGGGTCGCATGGACCCAGCCGGACTCAGTCGAGTACATGGGTTCCCAGCACACACTGGGAACACCCACAGGGAGTGCACGGCTCCCAGTTTCCGTGTGGCCCAACGCTGCCCGTGGCACACACTTAGTGACCGAATTAACAGAGGGAGGATCCTCCCCACCTCTGACGCTCAGCCTGTCAAATAAATGTAAAAAGCTCAAAAATACATTCGTGTACATACACATACATATATAAACATGCACACACACACATAGGCAGCTGACAAGCAGCAGCCAGGAGAAAGCACAGCAGGAATGAGCGCAGCGGGGCCAGCGAGGGGCTGCTGCCTGACCCCCGGAGGTCACCAGCAGAAGTTCAGAGAACATGGGGCCCCACATGATGTCTCAATTGGCTAATCCTCCAAATGCATGCTGGTTCGTGTCCCAGCTGCTCCACTTCCCATCCAGCTCCCTGCTTATGGCCTGGGAAAGCAGACAAGGACAGCTCAAAGCTTTGGGACCCTGCACCTGAGTGGGAGACGCAGAAGCTCCTAACTCCTGGCCATTGTGGGGAGTGAATCAGCAGATGGGAGGTCTTTCTGACTCTCCTCTCTGTAAAACTGCATTATATGTTATGTATACAATATATATGTTACATACGTAAGCGAAACAGAAGGAAGGGAAGCGGAACCACGTCTAGACTTCTGCCAAGTTCTGTGGGGAGGCAGCCTTTGTTATGGCGGTTAAGAATGCAGGCTGAGGGCCCGGCGTGGTGGCGCAAGTGGTTAAGGTCCTCACCTTGCACGCCCGGGATCCCATATGGGCGCCGGTTCTAATCCCGGCAGCCCCGCTTCCCTTCCAGCTCCCTGCCTGTGGCCTGGGAAAGAAGTCGAGGACGGCCCAAAGCTTTGGGACCCTGCACCCACGTGGGAGACCCGGAAGAGGCTCCTGGCTTCGGATCGGCATAGTATCGGCCGTTGCGCTCACTTGGGGAGTGAATCATCGGATGGAAGATCTTTTGCTCTGTCTCTCCTTCTCTCTGTATATCTGCCTTTCCAATAAAAACATAATAAAAATAAATCTAAAAAAAAAAAAAAAAAGAATGCAGGCTGAGCTCCCCCAACTCTGGGGGCCCTTCTAAGCCCCCCATCAGCGCCCGCTGACCTTGACAGCTCTCTCCACGTGGATTTTGGCGTTTTTGAGGCGGCCCATGTGGTGAGACACCTTGGAGAATCCACCCCAGAGGCAAGAGGAACCTGCGGAAAGACGCCAAGCAGGGCAGGCTGGGGGGCACAGCCTAGGGCTCTCTTCTGTGCCCACCCAGCATCTTGCTCCTCGCAGAGCCCGTCCAGGCTGTGCGCGCCATTCCAGGCTCACCGTCCCGCGGCAGGTCATCATCTAGGGCCGGAGAGCGCAGGGGGCCGAGGGAGCGAGGATCTGAGGTGCTCTTGGGATGCAGACCCTGGGAAAGCTTCTGGAAGGCTTGATCCAAAGGGTGCACAGGGGCGGGGCTGCCGCTCACACAATCCCCCTCCGGCTGGGTGGAGGCGGTCCCAGGCCACGGCAGCCGCCCGGGCGATGGTAGCCCCAGCCGCCGCCGGGAGTGGCGCACCCAGGGCCAGGGGGCAGCGGAACTGACACGGGGCTCAGGTGGCTGTCGTTCCCCCGGCCAGCCGTACCCCAAGCCGCCCTCTGGGTAGCACCAGGAGGCGGAGCCCAGGCGTGCAGGCCCCAGCTTCCCTGCGCTCAGAAGCAGGACTCCGCAGCCAGGGCCCTGCATGCGCCCTCACCGCCTCCCTTGGTGCGCCGCAGCCTTGGCGAGCAGGCGCTCTTGGTCCCAGGCCCCGCCCTCTGGTTACTGTCGCCTTGGAAACCATTCTCTAGGCATACAAAGTGTGGCAGCCAGGTTCGGGAGCTGCAGTGGATCTCTGGGTGCTCCAGTGGTCCTTCCCCCAGCGAGTGGGGATCCAGGCCTCACCTGCCAGAAAGGCAGCTTTGAGCCACCCGTTAGTATGGGCATGCTGGTTTCTCAGGTTGTTCCTGAGTGCCTGAGGCTTGGGTCATTCTCCCTTCATTCTAGGGTACCACACACTAGGAACAGGGTACGCACTGACAAATGGCAGCTGATCTGAACTTGCAGCTCAACAGGAGTTGAGGTGGGGGAATGAGCAAGCAAAGGAATACAAGGGCTACAGGTGTTAAGTGTGTTGATCTAGCTACTTGAGCTCCACAAAGCAGCTCCCAGGAGAAATGGAGAGGAGCCTAAAGGCAGAGCATCTTAAGGGGATGAGAGTGGGCAACAAGGTGCAGAACTCAGCTCCAAGCCCTGAAACTTGCAAAGAAAAACCCAGCTCATTGTGAGTCAGCTGCAGAGGAAACTAATGGGTCGCTAGCTGGTTAACCCCAGACCAGGACCATCAAGTCCTTCTGGAGTGGCAGCATCCTCTAATAAACCAAAGCCAAGAGATGCTAAGTGACTGGCCTCACAATCCACGGAGGGGTGATTCTGGACACCCAGCGAGATGGCAGCTTCTCCCTTGGGTGCAGCTCCACCTTATCTCTCTGCTGCTCACAGGAGCCCCAGGCAAGGGCAATGCAGCACAACGCCCAGCTCTTCCAAGTCTCAGGATAGAGTTGTTCCCCCTACCTGGTTTGAAGACTAACCGTACCACCACCTTCCAACAACCCCAGGCGCCACTCCAGGCTCGTCTGAGCTTTCCAAAGGCAAGCCCCCAGGCAGGGCCTGGCAGACACCCACCGCATCCTCATCAGGCTACCAACCTGGCTTGAGGAACTTTGGACCTTGAGGGACAGATCTGTGAAAACCCAGGGTTCTGCCTGGCTGAGGCAGACTGCGCCCTCTTACGACAGCTGCTGAGTGACCAGCCGCCATGTGCACGTGTCCACCCAGTTTCACCGGGAGCACCCTGCCTATGTGCTACAAAGCCAGAATGCAGCCATGTGCTCGACAGATGGTGTGACAGCTCAGAAAGGCAGGGGACAGGCAGGTCACAGAGGTCCTGTCATAAAGGGCTGACAGCCACACAGGCCATCCCCACCCCAACCCTCCCTCCCCTCACCACCAGCTTGCCCCTCGGAAGCGTCCCTGACAACCCATCCTGGAATTCCCAGAGGTCCCTGCTTGGTGATAGTGAAGCCTATTGGCACTCCTAACTCTCACCCAAGGCAGGGAGGCTGTGCCCACTGGCAGCCTGGAGCCAGCCAGCATCCCACACTGGGGAATGCTCGTGCCACACCTCCTCTCTGCTCAGCACCAGGTTCAGAACCGAGTCAGGACACGCACACGTCTGCTTTCCTTCCCGTCCACCCAGCTGTCACTTGCGAGTCCTAGCGCTATCCAACCTGTGATGCTGGAACAGCCGTTCTGTTTGTCACTTGAGCTCTCAAGCATCTGGCATGGAACAGTGGGACTAAAGAACAGACTTTAAACTTTATTTAAATTGAAATAAATAGTTCCATGTGGAAAGCCATTACTGCTTTAGCAGAGGCAAGATCTACCTTCTCGCTCCAAGGTCAATAGGTTTGAGACGAGCTACTGGAGCTCATCCAAGTTCTTCCTTTGTCCCTAAGACATTGAGATCCCTGCTTCTCCCAGGCCACCTCGGTCAGTGCACCTGAGACCATCATGTGACAGCACTCAGCTCTGGGCAGTCACCAAGTGGCTTCAGAAATACATGGAGCCTGGGTGAGGGCCCTGGGAGGGATTACAATAGGACCAATCAGTGGGCTGTATATGCTCGCCCCTACACACTCACACACACACACACACACACACGCCACAGACCTCATGCAGCCCCAAAGGGGCAAGAAGAGACTTTAATCAGGGGAGGTAGGGCCACCAGAACTGGAAGAGAAGATAGAGAGCGTGGGTACAGAGGGGCCAGAGCAGGCACTGAGGACAGCTGGCCAGGACGCTCTGGGGCACTCACCTTTACCCCTCCGGCACAGGCACTGTACTGGCAAGGCGACAGGCTGGCCCTTCAGCTGGAAGACCACCAAACAGCCCCTGAAGCCAGAGGGTGCCTGGTTTCTGGGCCCCTGCTCCCAGGCATGCTGGTGGTCACCAAGTCAGCCTTGTCCCCAGCCAGAGCTAGGTGGCTATCCGCAGAGAGTTCAGGAAGCTGGTAGGGGATCCCCACCACTTTTCCTGGGCCCAAGGAGGCTCAGCAATGAGAGGGCCGGGCAGAGGAACCCAAGTCGGGAACCACGTGGGGTGCTACTGGGGAGAACAATCGCCTTTGGCTCCAGGCCCGCCCAGACCCACGGCGACCAATAAAGTACGATCACTGGGACCAGTCACAGCCACCGCAGTGGAGGGTGTTTGTTAAAAAAAAAAAAAGAGAGAGAGAGAGACAAAAAGGTTACAGTCTCCTACAAGCACAGAGTTTAAATTTCAGACTTTAAAAAAAATCCCGTCCCAGCCCAGGGGACTGAACGTGACAAGCTAGCCTGACCAGGCACGTGTAGCCTTTGGGCATGCCCACTGCTTCCTTGCCCAGCTAGCAAGCACACCACCCCCTCCCACACCTATCGCCCACCCCCAACTGGCTTCCCGCTGCTGCCGCTGCCATCGCCGCTGCCATCTGGGGAGGACTTCAGGACGCCTTCGCAGACACATGCAGACACAGGGAGTCTGAGAGGGAGGCCACGAGATTCAGCCACACAGCTTAAAACTGTTGAGAGAACCAAAAGGCAGTGAGTGGTGGTTATCCAGCTGTGCCGAGGGTCCTGCTGGGACGTCGCCAGCCAGCTGTGACTGCAGGACATCTGGCAGCATCTTCCCCTGTGAGCCGAGCTAGCCTTCTAACTGAGGCTCTCAGGAAAGGGCTTGGGCTGCTGAGGACCCAGTGGAAAGAGTCGGAGGCGGGCGCTTTGTGTCCAACCAGTACTGCCCAGTAGAGCCCTGAGTGATTTATACAACCTTGGAGTTTGTGGGCCAATGCCTGTGGCTGAACCCTGCTCCAAGCGAGCACTGCTTCTCACAACCCATGTTTAGAACATGAATCAGCTGCCAACCTTGAATTCGGGAGACTCCAGGCACAAACACGGCCTCAGAGTTCTCTTGAAAACTGGAAACTGAGGCCACCATGGGCACAGCTGTGCAGCATACACCAAGCCCATTCAGGTGAGGTACATACACCAAGCCCATCCAGCTCACGGCTCTTGCAGACTCTGCCTATCAGACCACCCTGCCACCACTGAGGCTACAGCCCCTGCCAGACACCCAGCTGCCGGCTGAGAGCTGGCAGACAGACAAAGCCACATGCTCTAGGTCCCAACAGACAAGGGTCCCTGGGAAGGCGACTTCATGTCCAGAACCCTAATCTCAGCAGCAAAATGGGGGTGACACCTGATCCAGAGACTGAGCGTTAAAGGCTTCCTTAGCTCTGAACCTGGAACAGCTCTATGTGTTCTGGGTAGCTCCACGCTAGACACGCAGCTGCCACTGGATGCCTTGTGGTGCAGGCCCAGGGTTCTGGTACCCTCATGCAGTGTCAACTCCTGTGGAAGGAACCTACTTACAACAGCTTCCTCATTACTCAGCTGAGGGGCGGGGACTGCCCGAGCCAGGCAGCCTGCAGTGGAGCGGGCTGCACGGGTGTTCACAGAGCATGCAGTGCGACAGTGACTGCAGCTACCATGTGTGCTGACCGCCGCCCCTCCCCCGGGCAGCGGGTGTAGTTTCCATTTTTAGACATGCATGCAGGCTCCTTCAGAGCCAGAGCCATATGCAGAGACAGGAGTATACTCCACGTTACCATCTAAGGCTCACAGTCAACTCGGAGCGGAACATGTCAACAAACCAAAAGGAAGGCAAGTCCCGAACATCTAAATAAAATAAAACCAGCTTCACCATGGGCTCCTCAGTGTAAACAAGTGCACTGCTCGCCTTCTGATTAGAAAGACACAAACAATCTAAGAAGGATCCAGAGGGCTAAGGCACTTTAGAAATGAAAAACAGGTCAAATAAATCAAAGATGCTGAAGTGTGTGCCATGATGAACTAAGGCAGAAGCTCCCGTGTGTTCTTCACTCACTTCTGGGGTCTGAACTGTCACAGCTGAGGCTCTGCGGGTCCCTCCTTACGAGACCTGGCTGGCGGTACACATCCCCAGCAACTGGAAACACCCCAGCAGGCTCCAAGAGGGGTCCCCGCAGCCCCTGGTGGACCTGCCACGCACCACACATTCTAGAGGCCACAGGGACGCCAACAGCTGCTGGAACAGGTTTGTGGTGGGTGCTAAAGTGCCCCTTCCCTGCCATCAGGAAATGAGGACACCCTGGCCTTACGTTCTTGAGGAACTCCTCCGCCACGATCCGTGCCCGGGCATTGACCGACAGCTTCATCTCACTAATCTCCTTGTCGATCTCCTCCATGAAGTGGATCACAAAGTCTACCAGCTTGTGCTTGTACATCTGCTCGGTGTGGAAGTTGGTGATCAGGAAGCTGATGTCATAGCCCTGGGGGAGAGGCAGCAGCATCGCAAGTCAGCACCAGGCAACCAGCCGCCAGTCGCCAAGTCCCCCACCTGCACGCTGCCAGAAGGCTGTGACCTGCTCCTGGGGCACACATCCTCTCAGCTCCGGGCGTGCGTTCTGCATCCCCGCCAGCAGAGCCTGCTGGGACACTGCAGCTGGAAGGCTTCACTGGGAAGACTATGGCCCAAACAGCTTTGTGGTCAGCGTCGGTCAATGACGCAAGGGATCTGTAATCTTGTTATGGAGGCAGCTACTCCTGTAGCAGAATGTGTGGTCCAGACAGAGTCCGTGAGAGGTTGGATCTGGTATCTTTTATTATTTGGGCAAAGCACTGTGTATGAGTAACTGTGTCTGTTCAGGGTCATTCCTGACATTAAATCCAAGACCAGAGAGAGAAGCTGGCACACGGCCAGCTCACACCAAGTCTGGGACGGCATCGGCTCAGGCACTGAGAACAAATAGTGTAAGCTGACCTGGCAGGCAGTCGGAGGGGAATCCCAGCACATAAGCTGGCAGCAAGTCACCAGTGTCAACCGGGGCCCTGAGCAGCCACAACAGAATTGGTGGCACATCTTAGTAAGGAGTTCGACTGCACCACATTCTTTCTGCCCGGAGGAGCAGCCCCTCTCCCTTGTGGGGCCGTTTCCAGTGGAGGCAGACTCTACTCCCCAAGCTGAGCCCTGTGCTCAGCTCTGGCAGCCAGGAGACCAGTTCTAGAACAGTGACAGAACCCAAGGTCCTGCCAACACTGGGGTCATGGGCCCTCACCTCCACTGGTTTCCTTCGAAGGATAAAGAAGTTCTCTGCCCGCATCATCATGAAGCGCATGAACTTGTGACACAGAATCTTCTCTATTTCATCAGCCTGGTGAGAGAACACAGGAGTAGCAGGGTCCCTACAGCTGACATCCCGGGTCAGCAAACTCACAACCTGGGCTCGCCAGGAGCAGTGATGGCTGTGCTGGGAGCTCTCGGCCATCCCGACAGGAAGGCTGAGGGCAGGGTCTCGCCCCACGTGTGGAGGCACTACCTCAGTCTTGGCACACCCACTGCACAGGCCAGCTCCAGTGACACAGCCCTCAGCCACCCACATTCCATGCCACTCCTTCCGTGAGCGACCAGGACCACCTGGGGTATCCGCAACAAACGTGCAACAAGCCCCACAGCTTCTGCTTTTGAATTCTGTATACCTGAAGGGAGAATTTTGCCCACCACTTGTTACTTTGGGGCTTTAACAATGAAAGCAGACTTCAGGCTTAGGGCTCCCCACAGACAACAGTATCTAGTCTGAGCTAAGACGCCCTGTTTTGCTCTCACTCCGTCTCTAGTTCCCTTCTCCAACAGCAGGTAAGTATCTTTCCCATTTAAGGTATAAAATCGCAAACAAATTTGAGTAAAAGGAAGTAATTCCATTTTTTAACATCTACCAGATAAGCCACCCTTTGGAGGATACACAGGGTCGTGGGAAAGCAGCAGTGCCGAAGCAAACCCCGCATCTCAGTCTGAGACTCTCATAATCCAATCATTCACAGTGTGGCTATCTTCCCCAACCACATGTTCTCTCTGTTCCTAAGCTGCAGCTCTGCAAGGCAACACCGAACCAGCCCCAGTCCTGGATACCGCCGGTCCTGCTTCTAGCCTAGTGCGAGCCCCTCGAGATGGCACTGGAGTCCCCTTTTACCCTACTGACCATTCAGTCTGGTAGACCACCTGCTGAATACATTCTAGGAAGCAGAGTGTGGAATTCCTGCACCCCCAAATCAGGAATGTGGGGACGCCTGCTGGACAGGTAGCCTCACCTGTTTGACAGCAATGCTGACCCGGACAGAATTGATGGAGCCCTCGATGAGCACCTTCTCCTTCTCATTCCTGCTGATGGTGACAGGCTGCAACAGCAGCTCCTTGCTACTCCTGCAAACACAGTCGCAGGGGGACACAACACTTAGGGCATTCTAGGATCGTGGAGATCACCATGGCCAAAAAACACCAGCAGGCAGGGCTGTAGGCCAGTGAGCATGTTCCACGGCAGGCAGTGCCCAAGCCCTGCGTCGGGACGAAAAGACCTCGAAGTGCAGCCTTGCCTGCCATCGTCCTTGCCAAGCTGCCCTGCCGAATCTTAATTTTGATTCCTATCCCACTGGCAACAACTGAGAGATCAAAAAGGGTCAAGTGTCTGACAGTGTGCTGTCATATTCTGTGTACTTGACAAGAGTGAGCTGATTTTAACAACTGAAGACCACAAACCCCAAGCGAAGCCTTGGGAGATGAGGGTGGCATCTGCCCACAGTGGTCTCCTTTAACCACCAATCCAGAAGGTTTGCCGACTCACCACTGGCACCTCAGTCAGTTTAGGACAGTGGACGTCTCTGCACCTCCAGAGACTTGCTGTGGGATCTAAGCACACGGTGTGAGCTGCTACCACCAGGAAATGCCCGCATTTGGCCCAATGGTTGAGATGCTGGTTAAGACACCACCAACCCACACAGGGGTTACAATCCCAGCTCTGGCTCCCAATCTAGCTTCCTGCTTCTGCAGACCCTGAGTGGGAGGCTGGTGATGGATGACTCAAGTATGAGGATCTATGCTACCCATGTGAGAGACTAGCTGGCATTCTGGGCTCTTGGCTTCCGCCTGTCCTTGTCCTAACATTGGCATGGGGGATAAACTGGCAGATGGAAAATCTTGGTCTGCCTCTGTCTTGGTCTCCTCCATTTTACTCTGCTTTTCAAAAGAAACATAATACCTATGTACTTAAAAAATATATTTTTTTCCAAGGACTTTCTGGAATACTATGAAAGAGAGTTCATACTGGAAAAAAAAAAAAATTCTTGATCCTTAAATTAGAAAAGTATGCAGGGGCCTGGTACAGTAGCCTAGTGACTAAAGTCCTTGCCTTGCGCACGCCGGTATCCCACATGGGCACCAGTTCTAATCCTGGCTAATTCACTTCCCATTCCGCTCCCTGCTTGTGGCCTGGAAAAGCAGTAGAGAATGGTCCAAGGCCTTGACACTCTGCCCCCCCTTGGGAGACCCAAAAGAAGCTCCTGGCTCCTGGCTAGCTCAGCTCTGGCTGTTGTGGCCACTTAGGGAGTGAATCAACTACGGAAAATCTTCCTGTTTCTCCTCTGTATGTCTGACTTTCCAACAAAATAAATAAATCTCTAAAAGACAAAAAAAAAGTAAAATATGCAGATACTGACAGTATGGCATGCTAGTAAAGCCCTCACCTGCAATGCTAGCATCCTGTATGGGCACCTGTTCATCTCCCGTTGCCCCACTTCCTTTCTAGCTTCATATTAACATGCATGCAAAAACAACAGAGATGACCCAACTACCTGGGCCCCTGCACCCGTGTGGGAAACCAGGAAGAAGCTCCTGGCTCCTGGCTTTGGATCAGCACAGGATCTGGCTGTTGCAGCCACTTGGGGACTAAACAAGCAGATGGAAAGTTCTCCATCTCTCCTGCTCTGTGTAACTCTACTTTCCTTCCTTTTTAAGAAACATTTATTTGGGCCCAGCACGGCGACGCAAGTGGTTAAGGTCCTCACCTTGCACGCCCGGATCCCATATGGGCACCGGTTCTAATCCTGGCAACTCCGCTTCCCATCCAGCTTCCTGCCTGTGGCCCAGGAGAGCCGTCGAGGAAGGCCCAGAGCTTTGGGACCCTGCACCCACGTGGGAGACCCGGAAGAGGCTCCTGGCTTCGGATTGGCATAATATCAGCCGTTGCGCTCACTTGGGGAGTGAATCATCGGATGGAAGATCTTCCTCTCTGTCTCTCCTCTCTGTATATCCACCTTTCCAATAAAAATAAAATAAATCTTGGGCCCGGCGCGGTGGCACAGTGGTTAAGGTCCTCGCCTTGCACGCCCTGGATCCCATATGGGCGACGGTTCTAATCCCGGTGGCCCCACTTCCCATCCAGCTCCCTGCCTGTGGCCCGGGAAAGCAGTCGAGGACGGCCCAAGGCTTTGGGACCCTGCACCTGCGTGGGAGACCCGGAAGACGCTCCTGGCTTCGGATCAGCATAGCATTGACCATTGCGCTCACTTGGGGAGTGAATAATCAGACGGAAGATCTTCCTCTCTGTCTCTTCTCTATGTATATCTGCCTTTCCAATAAAAATTAAATAAATCTTTAAAAAAAAATAAATCTTAAAAAAAAAAGAAACATTTATTTTTACTGGAAAAGGAAATTTACAGAGAGGAGGCACAGAGAGAAAGAGGCACAGAGAGAAAGAGACACCGAGAGAAAGATCTTCCATCTGCCGGTTCACTTCCCAAGTGGCTGCAATGGCCAGAGCTGAGCTGAGCTAATCTGGAGCCAGGAGCTTCTTCCATGTGTCTGGCCTGCAGGTGCAGGGTCCCAAGGCCCTGGGTCTTCCTCGACTGCTTTCTTAGGCCACAAGCAGGGAGCTGAATGGGAAATAGAGAAGCTGAGGCAGGAACTGGCACCCATTTGGGATCCCAGACATGCAAGGTAAGGATTTAGGCACTGAGCCATCACACAGTCCCCTAACTTTCTTTTTTTTTTTCCTTCTCTCACAGGTAACTTTACTAAGTTTGATTTCATTCCCTATAGGCACACACTCCCATTCCCATTATTTTTCTTCAAACTCTTTTCTTAGGTTCATTTGTGAACTGCTTTAAGGTGTGAATAAAGTTAGACTTTCAATTTCTGCAGACAGGAAGACTGCACCAAAAGGCTTTAACGTATTTCTTTTACTGATGTACTTTAACAATACATGCATAGTCATTTTTTTAAATCATCATTTTAATTTTTTTCAGCAGTTTATGCTATCAGTTGGTAGAAATTAAACAAGAAAAGGAAGACACAGCAAAGCAAGAAGCTATACCCAAAAGAGCCAGAGCAAAAGAATTCCATAAGGTGAGCAAGAGCCCAGGTCCAGCCAGACCCTGCCCAATTCCAGTGTTAGAAAACAGCTATCATACAACTGCTACATTTAATCTTCATTCTTCCTACAGAAATTTCAAGTCAAAAAACACCTGACGACTCCTATAAACCAGTGTAAAGTTTATTTAAAGTTAAAAAAACTTTCATTAAAAAATTTTTATTCAAGTTCCCCATGTTGCAATTCCTTCATCGTACATTGTAAAAGATAAATAAACAAAATAAATAAAGTCCTCGTCTTGAATGTACCAGGATCCCAAATGGTCGCCGGTTTTAATCCCAGCAGCCCCACTTCCCATCCAGCTCCCTGCTTGTGGCCTGGGAAAGCAGCTGAGGACGGCCCAGGGCCTTGGGACCCTGCACCCGTGGAAGATGGATGTTCCTGGCTCCTGGCTTCAGATTGGCACAGCACCGGCTGTTGTGGCCGCTTGGGGAGTGAATCATCGGTTGGACGATCTTCCTCTCTGTCTCTCCTCCTCTCTGTATATCAATTCCAAGCAATTTACTCTCAAGTCTTTAGAGCCAAGGGGCTCCCCCAATTCTTACGGTCTCACATAATGAATGACTAACTCTACTTTTCAAATGAATCAATCTTACATGGGATCCCAGCACTTGGGAGGTGGAGGATTATCCAGTTGAGATATAGTATCAGGCCCCCCAAATAAATAATTTTTTAAATGTCATTAATCAAATTCTCACACCTGATCCTAAGCTACCAGTGCCTCTGACGGCACCTCAGGAAACTGCCCACAGCCCAAGATATCCTGCAATCCGGCTCCAGGGAACTTCTCCCCAGAGCTCCGTCCCACCAACCCACTGACCCCATTTCCCCAACTCTGATCAGGTCCAGCTATTTTGACAATTCCAGACCCAGGCTCCCCAGAGCAGGGCACTAAACCCCTTACCCATCCCCATGCATTACTACCTGACTTCCACCTCAGGCTTGTTGTGTCGTTCCACCACCTGGGAAGAGAAATTCTCCAGGCAGAGAGCAGCCTGCAGCGTGGCCCGCACGGCACTCAGGTAGGGGCGAAGCGTGGCAGTCTGCAGGAAAAGGCCCGAGGGCAAGATCAGAATCCATCACCGAATGTACACACACACACCCCTGGAGCTGCCTGGCCCCCATCCACCACACAGAACAGACCCGACCAGAGGAGGCCTTCGAGATGCCTTCTGGTCCCACTCTAGCCTGGTGACTGCCACTTGCAGATGTGGGAGAGGGTGCTACGGACATCAAGAAGCGTGAAGGGGCCATTCTCCCAGTGGATCAGCCTGAGGCACCACAGAGAAGGCTGCAGCCCTACACAGCCCCGAGGCTGACACCCACAAGCTGCACTAAGTCAGCAAGGATATAGGCGCTGGTGTGCCACCACCCCCCCCCCCCCACCGGGTAGGGGGCAGAGATGACAGCTGTGACCTGAAACCAAGGGTGAAAAAACTGCACAGCCTCTCTTCCAGCAGGAGACACTGGCTTGACCAGACACCGAAACAGGACCAGGCCAATCAGGCCCTGAGGAAAAAAGCAAAGACCTCCTACTGCGCACTGCAGCCAGTGCCTGGGGGTAGCCAAGTTCTCCCTCAGTGCCAGGGGAGGCAGGGGCTTGCACGCCTGCAGCCATGGGCTCGTGTCTCTGCGCCCCAACCATCACACACATCTTCCTCACACGGACCCTGCCTAACTTCCCCTTTGTGACAAGGAAGAGAACTCAGCCATCTCAGTGCACGGCTCTCCTCCGGATAGTGAGTCTTCGTTTTGGCAGATTACGTGTGTCTAGCCGCAGCCCACTGGCCACAGCTGGCTCAGCACCCAACCGTGTTCAGTAGGATGCCTGAATGAATGGACAGGCGACAGATGCAACTGAGGTTACAATAGCACAAAAGGCACTGTGGGCTGCTGAATGAGACACATCCTAGGTTGAGCACGGGTTGCACTCTGTTCTGGGTGTGGGAAGGCCCCATCACTGGGGCTTTCTTCGGAGGAAGTGACAGAACTGCGGCTGCCCTAAGGGTCAGAGAATGGAGGGAGGCCCAAGTGAGGTAGCCGGCGGAAGGGAGGCTCTTCAAAGAGCCCTGGACAGTGGCTGGGGACGCGACTGGCTCTGGAGGGAGATGGTGCAGGGGGCAGCTGCCACAATTTCCAAGAAACTGTCCACCCAGCGGAGGGGGAACAAATGAAAACAAGTAGTGACACATGTAAGTGAACTCTAATCCCAGGAACAAGGACAAGCCAAGAGGTGCTCTGCAACCGGAAGACAGGGGACACTGCCAAGGGCCGGGCTAACTTGGTGGGGTAGCTCCATCTCCGCAGCAGTAACGGGGCAATGTTTGTCAGCTTCCATCAGCACGAAGGGGGACTTTGGGGGGGGGGGTGGCCTGTTCCATGACACCTGCCTTCTCACAAAGATATCTACTTCACTAAACCTGAAGCTCATTCTCGCCCAGGAAAAAAATGTTCAATCTTCTAGCTGAGGTAGGAAGACGCAAAATGAGCCAAGACAGAGAAGCCAGGAATGAGGGGAGCCTTGAACCCCAGCCCAACTTCAAGGTGTCCACTGAACCCTGCTAAGAGACCTGGGGAGGCGGACCGAGCCCTCACCGGGCACAGGTGGTCCAAGCAGAGGGGGAGCAGGGACGCCCCATCCATCAACGGAGGGCCGGATAGCCGGGCCCCGGGGGAGGCGAAAGAGACAGGGAAAGGGCAAGGCTGGAGAGACGAGGAAACGGGGGAGCCCGCCGGACCCCGCACACCACGGGCAAGCCCCGCTCCTTCAAAGCGGGGTCGCGAGGCCGCCAGCGTACCCCGCAGGGCTCCCCCCGCGCTAGGCCCACTTCCGGCTTCCTCCATGACCCAAGACGACCCCCAGCCGCCTCCGTAGCCCGTCCGCCAGGCCGCCCCCCACCAGCGGGTCTCTCCTACTCGCCCCTTCCTCACCCGGGCCCCCGCCCCTCCCTCCCTCTGTCACCCTCTTCGGGTCCCCAACATCCCCGGCACCCCGCAGCTGCAGGCCATCCGCAGCAGAGCTATGTCTCCCCCCAGACCCACAGGCGTGAGGCACAAAAAGGGGGTCCCCGGCCGGGGGCCCGAGTCCCTCACCATCGCGGGCGCTGGCTGGGCCGGAAAGCGGAAGTACGGAAGTGGCCAGCCCCGCGACGACGCCTGCCCTTTCTCCAGCAGCGCAGCCGCAGTCCCCGCCAGGACTTCCGGACGATACCATCATGCTCCTGAAGGGGGAAGGGAGGAAAAATCTGAGGGACATTGGTATCTTCAAGGCGTTCTTTTCCGCTAGGATCGTCTTGGTGTTTTCAAACTGTCGAAGTTACCGCTGTCTGTACAAGCTCCTCACACCATCTGTTTGACTGCCGCGGATGCCTTCACCTTTTCTCTTCGCCTCTGCTACAGCGTCCCCCCGGACAGACGATGGTACAGGCCGACCTCAGGCTGGGCACCAAATTAGGCCAAGCCGAGGCGGAGGAGGCCCACGCTGCTTCCGGCCGTGCGCCCCCATCCTGCCTCCGGGCCCCTCCCACCTGCCGCCCCGGGGCTTGGCGGGGCCCGACTGCGGCTCCCCGGTCCCGGACGCCGGGCCCCGCCCCCGCCGGCCGCGCTCCAGGCAGCTCCGAGGCCCGCACCCCACGCCCGCCCCCGAGTCCCCCGCAGCAGGCGGCCAGCACAGCCAGTTCCGGGGCGGTTGCTCCGAGCCCGGGCGAGGAGGGGGGGTTTGCAGTGAGGAGCTCGTGGGGGGCAGAGGCGGCCCTAGGGGGTTCGTGGAGCACAAGGGGCCTTCGAGGCGGGGCGCTGGGGCGACCCGCGGGTGGAGCTAGCCAGTAGGCAGTCCGGGCACCAATCTGGGCTCTGGTCGGGATTCGTCTCTTAATCCTCACAGCACCCCAGGGAGGTAGGTACTGCTGTTAGCCCCTGGCAGGGGTTCAGAATTTGGGGGGGGAGGATGGAGGAGGGAAACGATTTCTTTTTGTGGCCCCATGTTCCAGACAAGGAAGACTGAGTCTAGGGACCCCTCAAGTAGATGATGGCTTGAACCCTGGGCGTGTGTATGGCTGCCCACCTACTCTTGGAGACAGAAGGGGAGAAGGTGGAGTCTGGGGGGCAGCATTCAGAGAGGGGCTGGAACATTGAGGCAGCGGGCAGGTTAGGGAGGCAACAGGAGGCTGTGCTGTGGTGGTTACACCACCTGCACTTTGCTGTGGTTTGTTTTGTTTTGAGATATATTTACATGAAAGGAAAAGTTAGACCAGTCTTCCCATCGGCTAGTTGTCCCAGTGGCCATGGTAGCTGTGGCTGGGTCAGGACAAAACTAGAAGAGTTTCTCCCACGTGGGTTCAGGGGTCCTGGCAGTTGGGCCATCATCCACCACTTTCCCAGGTGCATTAAGAGGCAGCTGGATGGGAAGTGGAGCAGCTGGGAGTCCCAAACAGTGTCCACATGGGATGCAGGCAGCTGCTTAACACACTACACCACATTGTCGGCTTCTCTCTGTTTTTTGTTGTTATTCTGTCTTCCACCCACTGATTCTGTCATTCCCCAAGTGCCTGTGACAGGTCGAAGCTAAAAACCCCATCTGAGTCTCCCACGTGGGTGGCAGTCCCCAGTCCCCTGCTACCTCCCCAGTCACGTGAGCAGTAAGCAGGATTAGAAGCGGTGCATCAGGACTTGAACCAGGCACTCCCGTCTGCTGCTCCAGGTAGCTGCTGGACCACTGTGCCACTGTCCCGCCCCAGCTGGGCACCTGAAACACTGGCATCCCATATGGGAGCTGATTCATGTCCCGGCTGCTCCACTTCCCATCCAGCACCTTGCTTGTGGCCTGGGAAAGCAGTAGAAGATGGCCTTTCGAAGCCTTGGGAGCCTGCCTCCACGTAGGAGACCTAGAAGAGATCCTGGCTTTGGATCAGCTCAGCTCCAGCCACTGCGGCCATTTGGGGAGTGAGCCAGCAGCTGGAGGATCTCTGCTTCATTCTGTACATCTGCCTTTCCAATAAAATAAATCTAAAAAAAAGAAGAAAGGTCCAGTGGTTCTTGCTCCTGGGCATAAGACGGTAGGCTGCCCTGGGCCCCTCTGGGTGCACTGTGGGTGCTCGTCAAGCCCAGCTGTTCCTGGCTGTAAAGAGCTGTGAGGTGTCTTCTAGCCTGTTCGTCCTCCACCCATGGCTCACTCCTCCACAGCTCCGCAGGCTCCCGCACCCCGGGCCATGAGCGAGCTGAAGGACTGCCCCCTGCAGTTCCACGACTTCAAGTCCGTGGACCACCTAAAGGTCTGCCCACGCTACACGGCTGTGCTGGCCCGCTCTGAGGACGATGGCATTGGCATTGAGGAGCTGGACACACTGCAGCTGGAGCTGGAGACGCTGCTCTCCTCTGCCAGCCGGCGCCTGCGCGTGCTCGAGGCCGAAACCCAGGTGATGGCCCACAGGGGGCTGCTGGTGGGCTCTGGGCCGGGGTGTCGGGTAAGGCCCCGGGTTAGGGAGCCCTACGCCAGGCTCATGGGACGTGAAATGCCCTTGCCCTGCTGCAGATCCTCACAGACTGGCAGGATAAGAAAGGTGACCGGCGATTCCTGAAGCTGGGCCGGGAGCATGAGCTTGGCGCACCCCCCAAGCACGGCAAGCCCAAGAAGCAGAAACTTGAAAGCAAGGCAGGGCATGGGCCTGGGCCCGGGCCCGGGCGGCCCAAGTCCAAAAACCTGCAGCCCAAGATCCAGGAGTACGAGTTCACTGACGACCCTGTCGACGTGCCCCGGATCCCCAAGAATGACGCCCCCAACAGGTTCTGGACAGAAAGGGAGGCGCTGGGGACGAGGGGTGCAGGGGCCAGGGCTCATGTGGGACCCCACTTGGGATCTCCTTCCCCTTGCAGGTTCTGGGCCTCGGTGGAGCCCTACTGCGCCGACATCACTAGTGAAGAGGTGCGCACGTTGGAGGAGCTCCTGAAACCACCAGAAGATGAAGCTGAACATTACAAGGTAGGACTCTGGACTCCGGCAACCCTCCTCGCTTTCCTCAGCCCCATTCCCAGGGCACCTGTTCCACACAGCAGCCTGCCAGGTGTGGGTCCTTGTGTGCCTTACCCACAGGCCAGCTGGCCCAGGCCAGCTCTGACCACATGTTGCCTCTGCCACGGTGCCTCTCTGGGTCACCTGGCAGGAGGCAGGTCTCCCCGCGACTGCCATATCACATATCTGAGCCAAACAGCAAACATCCGGAGGCAAATTAGGTGGTCATGTGCACATCCCACAGGGCTGCTTCCAGGCTGCCCTGCTGAAACAGACCCTGCCACCCACACCGAAGACCCCGGTGGAATTGTCAGCTTAGGCCTGGCCCAGCCCTAGCTGTAGCAGCTGTGCTTGCAGTCTTGCCGGAGAGGTACTCGAAAATTCAAGCAGTAAAGTGAGAAATTCCTCTCATATGCACATCTAACCCCCCAGTTCTCCCTGGACGGCGGTTGTAACCCAAGACAGTGTGTGTATGAGCACAGAGCCATGACCTGTGCCTTGACAGATTTTTCTGGATTGTCTTCTCTGTGTTCCTTTTTCACGTGTCTGTTGAGCTAGGAATAGTATGTCTCCTCCATCCCTCCGATGCCCGGCACTGGCCCTGACCAGGACTGCAGGCTGGCGAGACAGGCAAGCGAATGAGCAAGCGGCTCCGTGGCAGTACCAGGCGCACAGGGGAGCCGCATCCCTGCTCAGGGCCTGTGCTATCCTCCCACAGATCCCCCCGCTGGGCAAGCACTACTCCCAGCGCTGGGCCCAGGAGGACCTGCTAGAAGAACAGAAAGATGGGGCCAGGGCGGCGGCTGTTGCCGACAAGAAGAAAGGCCTCGTGGGGCCCCTGGCCGAGCTGGACACCAAAGGTAGGTCCTCAACCTGCCCGCTCCAGAACAACATGGAGTGCCCAGAATTCCACCCCATTGCCCTCTTGCTCTGCCCGCTGCAGATGTGGATGCCCTGCTGAAGAAGTCAGAGGCCCAGCACGAGCAGCCGGAAGACGGGTGCCCCTTCGGTGCCCTCACCCAGCGCCTGCTTCAGGCCCTGGTGGAGGTGAGCACCCCCGCCCCGAGCAGCCACCACTGCAGCCTGTGCTCTTCTGGAGCAGTGCCAAAGGGAGGCAGCTGTGCCCTGTCCCTCAGGGAGGGCTATCTCCAGGCAGCAGCAGGTGGGAGGGTGATGGGAGATTGCTGGCTCCTAAAGAGGCTCAGAGCCTGGAGGCACAAGCAGGTGAACAACTGCACCTTCCCCTCCGCTGCTGCGGCCTACCAGGAAAACATCATCTCCCCCATGGAGGACTCCCCCATTCCTGACATGTCTGGCAAAGAGTCAGGGGCTGATGGCGCAAGCACCTCTCCCCGCAACCAGAACAAGCCCTTTAGGTGAGTGTCCTGCCCCCAGCCACCCCAACACCCCACTCCACGGGACAGGGGGGGCCTCATGTCAGAGGTCCATGTGGTGAAGTAACTTGCAGCTGTTTGTCGTAAGAGGGAGCCATCCCAGCTGATGCACGGACAGGAAGCTAGGGCGACCCAGTCCAGATGGTGTGATCCATTCTTACCTCAGTTACACTTGTGTGCACGTGCGGGAAAGCCTGGCAGAACAGCGGCTCGGCGATGGGGCAGCCTGGATGGACTGCCGTCTGTGTCATGCAGCCTGGCGGTGTTGCAGGTTCCTCTCAGCCTTTGCACTGTGGATTCTGTCACTTGTGTTCACGCAGACCTAGTGTGGGTGTCTCCATAGATACAGAGTAAGAATTTTATTTATTTGGAAGACAGAGTTACAAAGATCTGGTTCACTCCCCAAAGGACCAGCACAAGGGCTGGGCCAGATCAAAGCCACAAGTCAGTTTTCTTCCGGGTCCCCACAGGGGTGCAGGGTCTCAAGCACGTGGCCATCCTCCCTGCTTTCCCAGGCATATCAGCAGGGAGCTGGATGGGAAGTGAAGCAGCTGGGTCTTGAACTGACTCCCTTATGGGCTGCCAGTGCTACACATGGCAGCTTTACTCACCTTGTCATGTGCTGGCCCTGTGTCTGTATTTTTGTATCTGGATACACAGAGAAAGGCGCCTGGGACAGACTCCTCCCCCAGGGCTGGCATCAGTGTCCTGGAGCCTGAGGGTCTTGTCCTCCCTCCCGCCCCCACCCCAGCGTGCCACATACCAAGTCCCTGGAGAGTCGCATCAAGGAGGAGC